GTTCTGTGAAGCGCTTTGGGACGTCCTCCTGACGTGAAAAGCGCTATATCAAATGCAAGGATTATTATTATATTATTATTATCAGTTAGGACCATACCATTTAATATGACTTATACGAAGGCTGAGTTGCAGGCAAAGTAGTATAAATCCTATAAAATTTGATTTAAACAATAATCTACACTGCACATGCGGAATTCAGTGCAGACAGTAAGTGCAATGTGGTAGGTCTTCACTCAGCTGGTAAGTGCACATGTAGTGACTAGTCAAGACTACATTTTGCGCAACTCAATGCGACTTGACCCATGCGCACTTACCAGTAAGCAACAGAATCACAGTGGAATCTTTTGATTAACAATAATATTCCTTGCGTTTGAAATAGCACCTTATCACGTCAGTGATATACTGCAAAGTGGAGTACTGCAAACAGGATATACTGCAAAGTGGATTGCCTGTATACTTTATGGGCGAATCGCGGCAGCCAATATGAGCACATCATGTCCCACAAACAGCCATGAAGTGAATTTTATTTGAGGGATTGTTGGCCAGGACACCAGAAGAAACTCCTTCCTCTTTTCGAATAGTGCCGTGGGATCTTTAACATCTGCGTGAACAGGCAGATGGGACCTTGATTTAGCATCTTATCCAAGCGACGATACCTCCAACAATGCGACGTACCCCCAGCACTGCAGTGGAGTGTCAACTTAGACCGTGTGAGCTTGAATCCCGATGTGGGATTTGACCCCACAAACTTCTAACCCATAGGCAAGAGGGCTACCACTGCGCCAGGCTGACACAAAACAATGTTCTAATAATAATAATCCTTGCATTTGATTAAGCGCCTCATCACATCTTCCAGACGTCTCAAAGTGCTTCACAGAATATACTGTAAAGTGAATTGACTGCATGTTTGTGAGAGAAACAAGGCAGCCAATTGCACACAGCAGTGTCCCAAAAGCCGTCGTGGATTCAGTGACTAAATTATTATTTTTTTTGAAGGAAAAGCGATTCGCCAGTCGATTAACAACTGGGTCGATTACTTACTGCTAGGTAAACAGAAGCATGTGGAGTAAGGAAACTTGCCCAATGTTTCGCCCTGTCGGAAATCGAGCCCAGGTCCTCTCGCTTGCGAGGCGAGTGCTCTAACCACTAAGCTACAGGACTCCAAAATGAGGTCTTATTTAGTGGAGTTTACTGCCATAAATAAGTAATATTTAAAAAGATGAAATCTGGTCTTTTTTTCAAAGAAGAATTATTTTTATTGCCTGGAAATGACTTGGTCTGTTTTGAATTAGCTGCTCTAAGCCAGAGCAACAGTACTACAAAATTTTGGAAACATCTTAAACTAATTTAAAAGCTGTTTTTCTACACATCTTTAAAAAATGTCTTTCTTTATAACCTTGAAATCATGTCCAACATATTTCTCATAATGTTATCCTTAAGACCACTCATTTAAAATGTTAAAGTTGTACAGAATTTTGGAAAATACATTCATAGTATGCAGTTAAAGAAATATCTCCTTTCCACTAATGAAGGTAGAGCAAGAATTATTTATTGTGGTGTTGCCTATCAATTGTTGGAGATGGTTATAAACTCATAAAAAGGTAATGTTAGTAATCTGTTTTGATACTGTACATAAAATAATTGAACTGCTCAATATGGATAAATTCCATGGCATTTTGCAGTGATATTCAGATGAAAGATAATGCAAATGAAGTTTGCCCAGTACATAGCAAGTACCTTTCTAATCTTTTGAAGAAATGTTCAACAAAATGAAGTATTATTCAGTGGAGTTTATTGCCAAAAATAAGTTTAATTTTAAAAAAAAATGATTTTGTTTCTAAAAAAATTATTTTGTTATGTAATCATTGTTTGCGAAAGACTTGGAATTAGTTGAGGTACTACAATTGGCTTGAAGCAAGGAAGGGAAAAATCAGTCAGGGTTCCTTACTCCTGAATAAGATAGGTTCAGCTGTGATGTCACTCGTGTGGCCAACACTTTACTGTCTGGGCTTTCACCAGAACAGAAACCAATTATAATCTCATATATTTCAAAAAGCAACTTAAAATGTTGTGCAGCATATTCATTCTTCAATGTATTTCAACAGGACATGCTGGTGTAGTTAATGTTTGCAACTTTTCACCCAGTTCATTGGAAGGTGCTGAGTGAAGACTGGGTTTTCCCCATAGAGCGAAAGAACATTTGGAAACTGAATCTTCATGAATCACTGTCATGTACAATACTTTCCAGTACACTGTAGTAAGTTTTTTAAACAAAAGTAACATTGGGAGAAACAGCTAAGAAAGGATGCGTTTATAAAATGTAGTGATTACCTAATATTGATTTATCCAGCATCAGTTTTTTAGTTTTAAGTTAGCTTTAGCCCAGCAAAAATGTAAATTGTATTCCTTTGCACACAAACACAAGTGACACTGATTTGCCTAAAGCAGAATGGTATGCCTGATCTCATAATTACACTAGAATTTGCCATTTAATTTGACATTGTGCAGCTTGTGGTGTGTTAAGGAAAATAGGAAAATGCCACACCGTATTTGCTTGCAATCAATTTAAATGGGAATCAACTATGAAGAGAAATGGTGATCCATTTTTGTTTGGGCATTCTAATCATTGCTTATTCCAGGTAGGTTTGAACTACAACTATTCTTAGTTCTGCTTTGTCATGTGGTCACAGGAAAGCACCAATTAACCATGGGTAAACCTATCTTTCCTTTTGCTGTCTGTCATTTCTTTGAGCAAACAAGTGAATAAATGATTAAACTTGCCCACTGAAGGATAGCCTGGAACTCCCAAATTGTCACTTTGTGATTGAAAATAATTAGCTTAATTGTATTGGTTCCAAAGTTGTTTCTTTTCATGGGGGGGGGGGGGGGGGGGGGGGGTCACTTGTGTTTGTGTGCAAAGAAATACAATTTACATTTTTGTTGGGCTAAAGCTAACTTAAAAACTGATGCTGGATAAATTAATATTAGGAAATTTAAATCAATTAATAATTTAATTATTCATTAAATCAAGGCAAAGTGACTTGACTCTTACTTAGAATCTATTGAGTTCTCCCTTATTTTCTTTCTGGGTTGTAACCACTCTTCCTTCACCTTAACTGTTTGCACTGTTTTCAGTTGTGGTTTTTGCCTATATTTGTAACTAGCATAAACTTCTGTTCCAATTTTAACTATTAACTTGAAATTTTTAAATTAAGTGTCTGTTCAGACTTGTGATTGATTTTCAGTAAATTGTATTGGATTTCACGAGCCAAACAACGACAACAAATTACATTTGTAAAGCGCCTTTCACGTCAGGAGGACATCCCTAGGAGCTGACAGTCAGGGATTTGGACCAGAGCAGGGGGTTGGGATAAGGGAGGCTGGAGGGCACGGTAGGTAGGAGAGTGGCCAAAGGCTCGGTCAAAGAGGAGGGTCTTGAGACATGCCTTGAAGGAGGCACAGGAGGGAGCAAGACACAGGGACTGGGGATGGAGTTTCAAAGGGTGTGGGCAAAGAGGCTGAAGGCTCAACGACCGATGGTGGGGCGAGCCAGGTGGGGGGGACATGTTTTTGTGTGTTCTGACGAAAGGTCATAGACCTGAAATGTTAACTAATTTTTTTCTCTCCATGGATATGCCCTGACCTACTGCGTGTGCCCAGGGACTTCTGTGTTTATACCAGATTCCCAGCATCTGCAGTACTTTGCCTTTGATTCGGTTTCATTATATTGACTGGCTATCCAATTTGGACATTTTAATTTTTTATTAAATGAATATAATTTCAGTACAAAAGGGGCCCAATCAGCCCATTTTCCAGTTCTTTCCTCATATACTTTTTTAAACTGCTGTAGTGTTAGTCCAGTTATCTATTGAATGATTACCAATCACTAACAACTATTTGAGTGGATAAATTCATTCTAATCTCTCTCCTAATTTTTCTGCTCGTAATCTTGAGACTGCTCTCAATTACCCAACTGCTCTAGTGGAATGCTTCAGGAACATTCAGCTGGAATTTCAACTGTCCACTTGAAGTTGTGGTTAGATCTGATGTGCGTTCATTTTTGCGGAAAATAAAAAAAAAGTGGATAGAATGAGCGCTCTCAGATAATGCAAGCCAAGTTGTAGGCCTGCCAGATTAAAGTTAATTGAGCTGTTGCATATATATGTGTGCACTGCACAATAGCTGCTCTAATCCACTTCACTATTCATAATCCATGTATAAAACGAGCCTCTGTTTCTGGTGAATGGTCACCCAGATGCTGTGGGTGCAGCTTTGATTTGTTGAATCTGCAGCTGTGCATTTGCACAACAATTGAATATATTGGCAGGACATGTTTCAGAATGTTAAGTGTTGAATATATTATTACAATTAAAATAAGGAAAATACAGAGCAATACCTAGGGATGAGATATACCTCCCCACACAGTGCTTTCAGGACAGATTTATAATGTCCTGTTTAATTCAAGATCATTTTGGAGGAACAGATAAAAGTTAACGTGGAATAAGTTAACTTAAAATATCCACCAATGATGTGATCCTAACTTATTTGAGTTGGGGGAACCCCACATTTACCTTGCAGATTACACTAACAGACTTGTGTGGCACTTTTCATTCAAACCCACAACTCCTTGCTGCTAAGTGTTGTTACTTGGCGATGTGCCTTTATAATGGGTTATCACTTTCTGGGAATGATTATAACTTCTTCCAGGTAAAATGTGGAAGCTTATCTTTCACAAACATTAAATCATACAAAAGGGGGCATTTTTATTGAGATACTTGACTGCTGACTTGGAGCACTTGGAATGTATGTATGTAGCTCGAGGAACAAATCGGATGATAAATTGTTTCACTTCCTTCTTATCAGTATATTGCTGAAGAATGGTTAAACTCTTCTTGTCTTGCCTTCTGGGCTCTAATCAATATTTTTTCTGTCTCTTCACTTGTTTGACGTTTGTTTGCTTTTGGGATTTTGTTTCTGATTTTCTCTATTCTTGTACATAGATCCTTTCTCTTCTGAAGCCAGTGATGAAGCCATTCCAAGTTTAAACCCTTTTCTTGTGAAATCTGCTGAAGTTGTAAATGCCACCGTCGCCTCCTCTGATGGTGTGATCTTTACCTCTAGGACGCATAGCCATGAAATGTTTGGTAAAACGCATCTTATTAAAACAACTTAAAATTTACATCATTATTGAAACTTGTTTTAGTGTTTGTACAAACATTAAGCTTTTGATTCTCTAGATCATTTCAATCCCTTTACTGAGCCAACTTCCTGTGTTGCTACAAAGTACGAATACGCTCCACGGATAGACCAATTTCCCACAGGTACTTGAAATGGAAAGGTTTTTCTCCCCAAGTCTGAATCAGCAAACGTAGTATTGGTAATTCTAATATTAAAAAGAAATCTGATTTTTAAAAACAGAATTTTTTAAAGAAATTGTACCATTTCTTTAAAGAAATTGTACCATTTCTTTAAATCAGTGCAACTAGAATTCAGTATTATTCTGTCCATTACGTTTATTTCTACCCTAGGCTGTGGGGGGTTTGTCAGAGACAAACCTGCAGTTTGGGTAAAGACATTGTCCAGCACAATAAGAAGACATAGAAACACCCCCAAAATATTGCAGGATCAGATCGTATTTTGTTCGCTGATCTCAGCAAGTCAGCAGTTGGCAGTATTCTCTCTCCCGATTGCTACACAGACCCCCCCCCCCACCCCGCGATATATGAGTGGTCCCTGAACATTGATTGAAAACTGATTTTTCTGTGACTCTCCGCACCAAATAGCCAGCCTGATGACACTTACTGATGAGACTCGTATTTGAATACGATTAGGAGGTGAGATGCTATCAATGAACTTCATGAGAAACTGTGTGAGGGAGACATTATATGAAATCTAAATATACTTCCCTGGGTGCCTTGATGTACAGTTCTCAGACTAGAACTATGTGGGAGAAGCATCAAAATAAACCACTGCTGGCTGGGAATTCCTTCAAATTTCCATATAAAGATCCTTGTTTGGTCTGGCATTATAAATATTCATTTACTCAGAGATCCTGTCATGTTCCAGAGACGATTCCTTCCCATGTCTTTTGTTTGCAAGCCAAAAGCCAACAAAAAAGAATTGATGTGAGAATTTGAGAATTTTTCCTGGCTGAGGGGCTGAGTGGTGCCAGGGAGGGTCAGGGTGGGGGGTTGAAATCTCGACTGTTGGAAGTCTGGGCAGCTGCACAGGAGACTGGAGTTAGATTCACTTGATGACAACTTCTCCACTTTGTGCACTTCCTGTTCTACTCGTCATTTAATTTATATTATTTGAAGCATTAAAAAATTGGCTTCTTTTGAATTCCTTGAAATTACCATAGAAAATGTTTTATTTCAATGAAATTATCTTCTTCTTTAGGGAGGCAATTTGACAATCTTTTTAAAGACTTTTAAAAAGATCCACACATGAGCAAGGGTTGCTGGATAGCTCTCTGGAGTAAAAGTGTGATTAATTTTTCCCTCTCTAACCCAAGGGCTCTGAGGCCCCATGCTGCCGCCTTGACTGAGATCAGCTAACTTAGTACAGACCAGGGTCAAACCTCAGATTTTTGCAATGTATGAGTCAGTTACTCTTTGGACAAATGTGCTGAGCCATTGAGGTCAATGTTTTTTTTTAACTGGGGGCATTTTTCATTTAAAAGTCATCTAAGAGCTAGAAAACAAATAATAGCACTAAAAATTTAGAAATTAGTTGAAATATTGTTTGGTATCAATAGATATGACAAGCATAAATACAGATATGCTTTTTACTGATTTTACTTAAGGAATGAATAAGTGTGCTGTACCCTAAAATACAGGTTAAATTGTAGAACATTTTTTAAAAATCTTGGATTCACAAGTGCCTCATTGCTAATTAGAATTAACTGGCTACTGAGAGCTTGTTTGTGTAACACAATCATAATATGCAACTAACATGGATTTTTTTGTGCAACAGTATTTCTGTTTGTGTTCAGCTTTCAGCTCCCCTGCTCTGTAATTTCTGCTTATCTTTCTGTCCTGTTTCTTTGCATGATTTATCTGTCAGATTCCTTCTGTGGTCCTCCAGCCTATTCTAATACTTCCCAATTTAGAACTGAGCCCACTGCTGTAGCTGGTCTATTTGCAGGTAGGTTCTACACTTTTTTTTGTTGTAAGCTTTTCTGGTCAATTGCTTTTTGTGCTTTGTATTGCATGTGCTGAATTGCTATAAACTAGATGATTTGCCTTACATTTGTTTAGCTTGTGTTTTTAATTCTATGTTAGTATAATAGTGAGAATTTGAAAAGGTTGCTCTGCTCTGCTCCCGGTTGCAAAAGTAAAATGGTCTAATCAAGTACTGGCTCAGTATTTCATGGAATGACTCCACACCAGCCATTTATATATTCTGTCTACAGCAGTCCTGTACCATTTAAACAGTGCCATTCTTTTGAGATTCCATTACTCCACTTTGTGTATCATGTTAACTAGGTGAAAGTTCTTATCCTGCATTCTGTTATGTGTACCTACATTTAGCACACATTGAATATATTATTTCAATGAAGAGTTAAATTATTTCTCGAAAGGTAATTCATCACAAAAGCCCTGATATACTGCAAGGAAGCAACAACAACAACTTGCTCTTATATAGCGCCCTCCACGCAGGGTAGCGTCTCAGAGTGCTTAACAGTGGCAAAGTCTGACTCCGAGCCGGGTGGAGGGGCAAGGTGGCTGTAAGCAACTCCTCAGAAATGCTCATCTGAGTTGTATGTTTTTCTCATGTTCACATGCCCTCTTGTCACACTCCCTTAATTTGGGTTTAACCTTCAGGGTTTGTCCGCAGCATTCTCTGCACAGATTCTGTTCTGCTTGGCATTAGAACTGTATAGGCAATCATTCCCTATAGCTTTTTGGGGCAAATGCAGGTGATCTAGTCAAAGCAGTGGATTTTTTTTTGCATGCAGATCACGATGCTACTTTTCTATTCATAACCACTGATAACCAATTGCTCTCCAGATTTAGTAAGAAATACCCATTGTGTGTATCGAAGCGTTCGTAGGATGCTTCTGTAAAGTAACTGGAATTCAAAATGGCATTCCTGGAAACTGGCAGAATGAACATCCTGCAGCTGTGGTGGATACTGATGGATGTCTGACTACTTTCTTTATGCAACCAATTGTAGACAATTTCCTTTTAAATGAAAGTACAACAGTTCTTCAGGAGCTTTCCCTTAATATCAATCAAGACTGTTTGCTTTCACAAATGTATCTTTGTCGTTTGTTTAGATGCATTCTTTGGAACAACTTAAATGGAAATCAGATTTTGACTAGAAAGGTTTAACACTTGTCTGCACAATCGCACTAGTGTTACTTGTAATGTTTTTAAATAACCAGCTTCAGCTGTAGATATAGTGGAAACTTGCATTAAGTGCAGTCAATAGACTGGCCTATTTTACTTTATTAGTTAGTGTCCTCATTAGTGAATTGGGAATTTGGTCCCAATGAGTTTCAAATGGTGGGTCAGGAGCAGTTTGAATAGTGAATTGCCCTGAATACTGAGATGCCTGCAAGGTCAGATTCTAATGAAATCACGTGGTAATGGAAATTGTACTGATCGTGTTGCTTTCAGAAGCAGCTTGTATTTCTAGAGTTGATTGGTCTTTTCCAGCTTCATGTATGCCAAGTGATTTGTCTTACCTTGTACATGGTGTGGAACACTTTATGGTAAACTGTGTACTGAATATTAAAATGGGGAGGTTTTGTGTTAACACTGTCCCTATAACCTACTGCCTAGAGAAATGAGTGTAAATGAACTGTAAGACTATAAATGCTAATGTGATTACCACAAAGAGATATCAGTAGAAATCTTACTCAATGGATGTAGGGATTAATACTAATGTCTACTTTAGTGAGCGTTTGCATTCATAACTTTATTTTGGTATAGTATTTAGATATGTAAAATAACTTTCTAAAAGCAATGGGTGGAAAAAGTTTATCTTCTGGTTCCCTGGTGAGTTGCTGTCATTTACAGTTGAATTTTATGCAAATTATTTAAATTTGTCAAAAAAAATTGTAATGTGTTCTGAAATACTAAGCACAGAGCTGCTTTCTAACTTTGTGTGAGTTACTGTGGTTTTGGTTCGCTAGTTAAGCCTCTGGGGTTGTAAACGTGCCAGTTGGAAAAATGTGATCTCTGTTCAGAATCAAGTTTCCATGGGTTACTATGACATCTGTTGACTTTCCTGTCCCCAAAAAACACTTGATTTTATATCTTCAGCATAGCTATCATTTTGACTGCTGTTTTTCTGACCAGCTTATTTCCAACCCTTATTCTCAAGATTTTGCTCTAAGCTGTGCTTCATGTAAAATGCAGTGAAAGTACAGTATGTCTGATGCAATTTTTTAAAAGAAATATTTGAATACAACATAAAAACATCTAAAACAACAATCACAATGGGGAGAAATATTTTATTTTGAGAATTGAATATTTTAAAGTTGGCAAATAATAGCAACTAACTACAAAAATATGAGTGCTTCTATATCTTAAAAACAGGCACAAAGGTACAATCTTTAATTTTATTGCAAAACAATGCCAATTTTTAATCAGTTTCAGCTTTGATTAAAAATGAGTATTCGATCAAACATATTACATTTGCTGTTTATCTGAAAAAATGAAAGTTATGTGACTAGAGATTAATGTACCCAACAAAGATATGAAGATGCACCTTTGTTAGTGACTGATATGTTCTAATATTGACAAATATTATGTTTTTAGGCTTCATTCCTTCATCAGCTCAGGCACCAACATCAACAAGCATTAACGTTGACTTTGAGTCAGTGTTTGGGACTAAACCAACTACCACAACCAATAATGTAATGGATTCTGGTGGTAAGAATAATGTTCCCTTGTATGTATGCTTTATATTGAGTATAATACTCTTTTATTCACACTGACATTCACATACCTCACATCAAATATTTAAGAGTGGAAAAACTAATTACATTTCTAAAGAAAAGTAATATACTCTAGTAGTATATTTGGATGCAACAGAAGAAGGAAAACTGGGCCCATAATGGTTAACTGCTCTGGTCATTACATTTAGTTCAACCATATTAAACTCTTGTGTTTTCTAAGCCTAGCAAGTGAACCGTCGCAGTGCAATGGATCAATTGCTTGTTCACGGGTAACACTTCCTATTTTGACATGATGTTCACAGCAGGGATTGACCTAATAAAAACTCAGCCCCAGGGTTGTTGCTCTTCAGTCTTTCATCTTTTCAATAGGTGTAAAATTGGCTTGTCAAACCATTTTAAGCTCATTTTCTTTTTTAAAAATATTGAAGATGATAGGAGCAGGGAAATTGAAAACGATGAATTATGGGTTTAAAACTAGAAAGGGGGTAAAATAAGTAGAAAACAGTAAAATATATATTTTTAAAAAGACAGAAATGTTAACTACCAACTCTTCTGCATTGCTTCTTTATGAAATGGAATGATTTATAGAATCTGTAAAATCAGCAATTAGATTCACATACATTTACACAGAACTTACAGCACAGAAACAGGCCATTCAGCCAACTAGTCTGTGTTGAATTGTATTATACACATTCCTTACTCCCTCTCATACACTTCTATTCTAGCGTCCTATTAAATGCATCTATATTATCTGAGATCTTAGAGGTTAACACTTAAATTGTTTAAGTAACTGTTTCTCTCATTGCAGAAATAAAATTTTAAATGTTTTCTAACCCAAACCAACACAGATAGCCAGGAAATGAATGACCAATTTAACTGGATGATTGTGAGACACAGGGAGAAACTCGCTTCTCTTTTCATATACTGTCTTCAAATGAGAGGTTAAAACAAAGTCTCATCTGCCTAAACAGGAATGTCAGCCTCCACAATGAGGTCAAAGTCTCTGACATCAGACTTGAACCCACAACCTTTTGACCCAGAGGCGAGAATGCTACCAACTGGGCCATGCTGACACCCTGATCATTTGTTAATACAAAATTGAAAAGGTGCAGTATTTTTTAGGATTTCCCAAAAACATATTGGTTGGTTAAAAATGGTGATTGGGCTCTTTTTTCCGCAAGGAAAGATATACCAAGTTTGGGGTTTTATTTTTAACCAAAACGTAATGAAAGTTTTGAGTGACACATGATGTGCATGGATGCATCAGTTTTTTGATACAGGTGAGATGTTCCTTTATTGCAGAGATGTTTCCATACCTTTTACTGTTTTCTACTTATTTTGCCTCTTCTAGTTTTAAAAGGGATATACAATGGCCTAAAATGTATGTAATCCATTTCAGTAGAGGTATAAAATTAGAGAAGTAAGATGTGACAACATTTTCACACCTCAACGTTGTGATAATGTATAGATGTATTTAAGGGAAAGCTAGATAAGTACATGAGGGAGAAAGGAATAGAAGGTTATGCTTGAAGGCTTAGTTGAGGAAGGGCAGGAGGAGGCTCATGTGGAACATAAACACTGGCATAGACCAATTGGGCCAAATGGCCTGTTTCTGTGTTATGTATTCTAATGTATAAGGTGTTATGTACATTGCAAGGATTATTATTTTATGAATATCACAAGATGCTTTTTTTTTTCTCTTTCTCCACTACCATGAGTGGCCACAAATGCTTCGTGGATGTGGAGGTTTAGCTTCTTTTTTTAAAAAAAACGAGCAAGACCATGCCTGTTGTTAACAATCATGAACAAATTTTCCTTATAATTGACACAATATTTTGTTTGAGCTAAATGCTCTTTAGGATTGTTTGCGATCACTCAATTTTATTTACATCCTTTCTGAAATAATGCATTGAAAAATAAGTCCATTCCAGACACATGGAAATTTCCAAGCTTAGTGGTGTACATATGTGAAACTCTTGGTCTGGTTTTGATACTCTTAATAACAACAAATTATATTTGCATGGCGCCTTTCGCGTCAGGAGGACGTCCAAGCCACGGCCATGGATTTCCTCATATATCAGACATCTGCTGCCCTCTCTCCCCCCCCGGCAAAAGAAAGTAGTTTAACTAGTACTACTGGGAAGATTTTTGACATTGCTAATCTTTTTAGATCATTTGGCAAATCTAGCACTCTTCCTGCATGCAGAACACTAGGTCTAATCCATCACCCTGCCGCAATGGAGCCAGATTGTGCTTTTGTTGTGCTTAATGCTGTTAGATTCTTCATCAGCATATGTTAGCTCCTAGCTTTACAGTTTTTTTGCTTGTTTTTTTAAAAAGTTACATTGCTCTAATTTTATTTTCTTTCCACCAACCGTACCTGTGGTCCTGACTTTGCTTGGCATGCTTGAATGGGTGAGTTGGGACTTCCAAATATCAGTCATTATTGTTAGTGTTAAGTGATAGTCCAGAAATTATTTTTCTGTGTTTTGCTAACTGTAATTCATTACTGACTTCAAAGACTTTGACGGATTAGGTGGGGTCCTGAAACCAACTGTAGCTCTGCAAAATCAGATCCAGCTGACTTCAAAACAGCACCAAGGCAAGCTAGTAGGAGAAGATTTGGATTCATCTTTGGCTAATCTTGTAGGCAGTGAGTATTCTACCAAAGTGCACTGATTTATTGTTATCAATTGCTTGATTCCTACATGCAGATTAAGTAACTAATAAATTTCATTTCTTGCAGACTTGGGAATTGGAAATGGATCTACTAAAAAGTAAGAACTGTTACACACGTCTTGAATTATCGAATCATAAAATGTTGCTGCACAGAAGCAGAACATTCAGTAATTAAATTTATGCTGATGTTTTTCTTCACCTGAGCCATCTAATTCATTAATTTTGCATTGTTTGTATAAATTTCTAGATGTAGTTGCAACCAGTATAAACACAAACTCGGTAATAATCTGGGTCAATAAAAAAAGTGCGGCTGCACCTTTTCCGCTACAACGACCACGCCCGGGGCAAACCCGTCAAAAATGTAGCTTCTGGCCCGCAGGCCACTAGTGCTGTTTACTTTACGTCAATGTGGGCGGAGCAGCTCCACATCGCGCATGCGCAGTGCGGCGCAAGCGGCAAATGGACGACACTCGAAGGCTCCTCTGTTGTGACCGTTTGTGTCTGTGTGAGTGTCCCCCCACCCCCCCAAAAAAAAGGTTTTTGTAAAAGAAGCAATTTTTTTTTGCAACAATCTAATGTGTGTTATTTCTTTATGTTTAGCTTTTATCAATAAAGTGAAAAAATGTAGCAGTAAAATGTTCCTCAATAGCACCAATCAACCCCCGCAATATCCCCACAAAAATGTCAGCAATTTTCTATTGGCCCCGGTAATAATTCATAAAATCTATCTATACTAAAGGTAATAACAAATGGTTAAACTAAACTACACCAAGCACACACAATTTGGATCTGTAGTATTAAGACACAGATAGCTTTGCCTTGATTGATTGCCTTATGCAAACTTTTAAGAAACAGCCCTGGTCAAAGTGACAATTAACATTCTGTCCATCTGCGACCAGGGCTCCCTCTGCCTCCTCGTCATCCTTGACCTCTGCTGCCGTCAACACCGTTGACCACTATGCTCCTCCACCACCTCTCCTCTCACCTCAACCTTCATGTTTCTGTCCTTGAATGGTTCAGATTGTACCTCTCACACCGTCTCCACTTCATCTCCACAAACGGTTTCTCCTCTAGCCATCGCACCATCTCGTGCGGTATTCCTCAGGGTTCTGTTCTTGGTCCCCTCCTCTTCAATATCTATATGCTCCCTGTTGGTGAGATCATCTGACATGGGGTCAACTTCCACATGTATGGAGATAACACCCAGCTCTATCTCTCTGCCTCCACCTTTTACTCCAGCACCACTGCTGTCCTGACACAATGTCTGTCAGACATCAAATCCTGGATGAGAGCTAACTCTCTTCAGTTCAACGTCAAGAAGACCGAGGTCCTCCTGATTGTCTCCCATCAGCATCACCATTCATGGTTGCACCGTCCACCTTACTAGGCCAGTTTGGAACCTTGTTTGACCCTCAATTATCCTTTCTACCCCACATTTGTGTCATGACCCGCTCTATCTTCCACCACCTCCATAACATCACCCGGCTCCGTCACTGTCTCACTCCGCAGGCCGTCAAAACCCTCATACGCTTCCGTTACATTGAGGCTTGACTATGCAAACTGCCCTCCCCAATTCCTCCCTCCATAGGCTGCAGATCATCCAGAACTCTGCAGCCCGTGTCCTCTCCCATACCAGGCTCCGTGACCCTATCACCCCCATCCTCGTCCAACTCCACTGGTTTCCCATCACACAGGATACAGTTCAAGATCCTGATCCTCACCTTCAAAGTCCTCCATGGTCTTGCTCCCTCATTACCTCTGCAACCTCCTAACCCCTTACCATCCTGCTCGCTACCTCCACTCAGCGGACTCTGGCCCGCCTCACCCGCCCCACCATTTCCGGGCAGGCCTTCTGCCACTCTGCCCCATCCCGCAGTACCTCCGCCTCACCCCCTCTATTGCCTCCTTCAAGACCCATCTCACCACCCTCTTTGACTGTACTTTCAATAACCTTCCTTCCCCCACTGCCTTCTACCCTCCCCAATCCCGACCCCCAGCTCAGTTCTGAAACACTGACTGTCCAACACCTTGGGATGTCCTCCCAACGTGAAAGGTGCTATACAAATGTCATTTTGTTGTTTTTGACTTCAAAATCCTCGTCCTCACTTTCAAATCCCTCCAGAATCTTGTCCCCACTTCTGTGACCTTCTAAACCCTGCCAACCTGCCCACTCCCTCCGCTTGGCAGGCACTGGCCTGCCTCAAGTCCCCCGCCCTGTCCACCCACCATTGGTAGGCAGGCCTTCAGCCTTTCTGCCTCCCCAATCATTGGAACTTTATCCCAGAGTCCCTTTGCCACGCCCCTTCCCTCACCTACTTCAAGATCTGTCTCAAGACCTTCCACTTTGTCTACGCCTATGCTCAGTTTTCCCCCACCCCTTCCAACCCCAACCCCCAGCTCGGGTGAAAAGCCTCGACTGTCCAGTGCCTTGGGCTCTCCTGCTGACATGAAAGACACTATAAATAAAATTTGTTGATGTTACTAATTTCATTGCAAGACTGCTGCCATTTCATTTCTCTGGCCTGAAAGTGTGCAAAAGATATTTCCACGTTTTGTTCATTCATAATTTGATGTGCAAATATGTCAAAGCAAAAGTTAACAATTATTTTGTTGATACATAATTAAATATTTTTGCTTTGCCCAAGAAGTGATCTTCTTTGGAATCAGCCTGGGGAAAAGAAATTAACTGGAGGAACTAACTGGCAACCAAAGTTTGCAGCCACCACTACTTGGAATCCTGCTACGCTGGTAAGTTATGTACTATTATAATAAGGCTTTTGGAAATGGTTTGTTCTCCTTTTTTTAAAAAGAAAGTTAGGCTTTTAGTTACTTTTTATTATTTAAATGTCTTATTTGTGTAAAGGTCATTTGTGCAACTATCAATGCTAGGGGAATCAAAATCTAAATCGACAATGGACTTTACATTAGAGTTGAATTTCAAATCTAAAATGTTGTGAGGCAAGTGTCTTTGAAACCTTAATTTGATGCTAATTCCATTTGAAGATGTAGAGTCCTGTAGCTCAGTGGTTAGAGCACTCGCTTTGCAACCGAGAGACCTGAGATCAATTCCAGCGGGGTGAGACCCTATCCTGTGTGCAGGGCGCTATATGAGTGCAAGTTGTTGTTGGTATATCAGTAGTTGAATCAGCCAATAGAAAGGAAACAGGCACTTTGATGTGTTCCACTGCCCAGATTTACATAACTATTCAAAATGTTTTACAATTCTATTATGAATGCCTTACATTAACTAATATTAAGACTAAATTGTTTAAACTTGCAGATTTTTAGGATGAGTTGTAAACCTGAAATAATAAATTGTACGAAATACTTATATTCAAGAATCCAATCTAACTACATGTTTATTACATTATGTAATTATTTTCTCTGGATAAGCAGAATGGCATGCATTTTCCTCAATATGTAAGTGAAATACAACATTTTTTTGTAAAACTAGCATGCTGTTATTAACCTCTACTGAGATGGAAACATAAGAGTTATTACCTTTTTACTTGCTGTAACCTTGGTGTTCTGAACCTGCTGTCACTATTGTCTAAATCCTACCGGTGGATTCAACCTGTGGTGATAGTATGAATGCATTCTAAATACTGTTCACTGATACTTTCTACACATTTCTGAGGAAAACCTCGCTGCTTTCTTCCCCTCCTCCTCCAGTTAGAAGATATGATGTGCTGTGGCTTCGTAATCACTTTCTAGTGTTTGAAGAAACTGTCCAGTAACCGTAATGCATGAATGCATTCTGTGTGTTTCCATTTGCACTTTTCCCACTGTCTTTTAAGTGGTCTTCATTAGGAAGAGACAAATGTAAAATATTTACAGTTGGGTACTGAGTGTAATCTATATGGATCCCATGCTGTTGTTGTACCAACTGATAGTATTAAGTGCAGATCTCTGCAGAAATAATGGTGTACATTAGAGAGAATTTTTCCAAACCTGTAATTTTTGCTGATGTTTTGCTGATTTTCACAATACATAACTGCTTGGCTACAGTTTTGCTGATTTCCATAAGTCCATTTTCCAAGAATGGTCATTGGATGGGAATTGGGTACTAACTAAACACGCAATTGAAACTTAATCTTGAAGTGTTGAGGAACATTGAAGTTTATTTATGATCTGTCTAGGATTTTTGAAGAAACATTGAGGAGGTTATCCCTAATAAATGATATATAGATTCTACATATCATCAGATTCCTATTGTAAACCACATTGAATGGATTTTGGTAAAGTTTTGGATATATCCAACCTTATTCCACTCGAATTAATTTTTAAAATTATAATAACTTACTTATTATTGCTTTGAAATGTTTTCTGAAATTTTTAGTAATTACTTGTAGGATTTTTTAAAACTCCTGATCTGCACTTTTGTTCGTGCCAACTTCAGAAGATCACAAAATTGGCTTGGACGAAGAAAGCCCTTTGGACTATTTGGTCTCATCCTTCCAGAATACACATAACAGCATCAAGCTGTTCTCTTACATTAACTCCATCATCTTAGCCTCCACCACTCTTCTTGCCATGTGTTCCAGTTGTTAATTGAGTAAATAAATGCTTCTTGGTGTCTGTCATGAAATTGCCCATTGCAACTTTAAACCTTTGTCTTCTTGTTCTAAAGTATTGATGTAGCTTCTTCAGAATGCATTTTACTATTGCATTCCTCACCAGTTAATACTACTTGGCTAACATCATTGTATCAGATCAAACCTAAGCTGGTTTTGAATCTTACTCATCCTAATACAGCTCCTTTCTGGTGACAGATAATCATGAATTGTTCTTGCAAAGTTTGCTGTCTTCCCAACTTAAGAATGCAGGTTCTGCAGATTCTGGAACCATTTTCATAGTGACGACTTCATTAGCTGGAAAGTAATTTTGTGAGAAAATTGTGATGTCCTGTGCTCCTTAATAAAAACTCTGAGATCTTTGCAGACGTCCAAAAGAGGTTATTATACAGTCCCTAGAATTAACTGCAGATCAATAAAACCATTTTTGTTGATCCATTGTCCCAAAGGTATTTTGTTGATCCAAAGTCTAAAACTATTGCCACCGTGTAGTTCTCCTCTCCCCTTCCACGCTGTTCCCAGTCAAAAAGCAAAAAGTAGAAAAAATGAAGAGTTTTTGGTAGTTCATCGTCTCCTGAAGATCAGCATTGGTAGAAAATGTGCGCAGATGGTGCAATGAAAAATGTATTGAGAGAAACAAGTTGCTTCAAGTTTTCTTTCTCAACAAAATATTGTTCTGTATATATAGATATACTTCAATGTCTGTACTGTTGTTTAACAAATATGTTGGGTAAGTAAAATATTGACTCCTTAACTCAGTCTTATCCTATAATCTACAGGCTTTCCCAACCCAACTTTGGTGCCTCTTAACCACATCTTACATAATCTAGTTTTCTCTCTTCTCTTTTGTAGTGTGCTACATAATATCGTTATAGGTTCAGCAATAAAGTGAACAGTGACTAAATGGGGTTATTGAATGTATTCAGTGTTCTAGTTTAGCTTGTCAGACCTACCAGACAACAGTTCATTCTGCACTTACATTTTACCAGCCAGTATGTGGAGGGTTTCTTTTTTACTTCATTGGCAAGCTAGATATGACTTTGAATAATTTACATTCAATCATCATTGATATGATCATTAAAATAATACGTGCCTGCTGCCTTTGAGTTTCTAAATGAAAATGATTTTTTTTTGTATTTTGTATTTTTTTTGTATTTTCCAGGCTTTATATTTTCCAGGCTTTATGTTCTGAAGGAATTCACTGGTTAATTGGGGACTTATTAGATTGCTACTTTTTGACAGGGTTTTCTTTCAAATGTAGTTCATCCTTCACATTAAAAAAAAGCTCTCAAAGACAGGTTTGAGGTTGTCTGTCTGGAAGTTACCTGGAGTGCTTGGAAGTTTTTGGATTGTCTTGCATTAAATCAGGCGGCCTTGTTGTGTCCACTGCCTTTAAACAAGCTTGAGTGCAGAATCACACTGAAGCTTTGTGTGCACTGTGGATTTGCTCTGTGCTTCCATCTGATCATTTAATGAAAGCTAGTCAAATCACAAACCTGTCAAACCCGTTTTTTGGTTATCTGCTAAAGTTGGCTTTGATCATTTAGATTACTCTACCACATGTGTAGTATATATGGTTGAAAAGTTTCCAACTGCATTTCAAAGTACTTTGTTCAATTAAGCCGTTTTTAAGCACTTCCAGTCCCTTTTTTAGCAAACTGCGTATGATAAGAGGAACTTCATGCCTTTTGGACTTTATCATGTCCCACACCTGATCCATCCAACCCACCATTGGTGAGCAGCTTTCAGCCATTCTTACCCCAATCACTGGAACTCCATCGTGGAGTCCTTCCTTCTTGGCCTCTCCCTCCCCACCTTATCTTTTCATGTGTTTTCAGCTGTGTGAAGCACTTTGAGATGTCGTCTTAGCCTGAAAGATGCTATAAATATAAATTATTGTTTTTATTATGACTGTATACATCTTTGCAATGCTCCTGTTTATTCGATACATTTTGCAAAATGGGTCAGAAGCCTACAGATTTACAATATGCTGAAAGAAGAAAACAGCTTCTGTTAAGTATTTAACCAGAATATACTGACAATCCACTACTACTTTTATGTTTCATTTGTTAACCCTTTACTCAACTTGCTCTTAAGGATTTGTGAAAATGTTATTATTTAACCATGACTCTAACGTGATAGACGTGTCAAAATTTCATTCGAATTAGTCATTCGAATACTGGTGAGACCTTAATTTTGCTGCTTCTGTCTTCATATCTCCCATTGATCTCTGCCAGGCACCGACCATAATGGCCTTCCCAGCAACAACACCAACAGCAGTGATGGCATATGGCATGGTAAGTGCTTGAGGTGGTATGAATTTTAATTTGAATAGTTTATAAAACCATAGCAATTTGCCCCATTGTGGTTGTGCTGGCTCTTTGAAAGAGCAATCCATTCAAGTACCTTTTTTCTGCCTTTTTTCCCATACCACTGGAACATTATTTTTCTTTATCTGTTTAGTTTGCCTTTTGTATTTTAATATGGTTCCCGCCTTGACCCCTGAACCCAAAAGGGGGTTCTACAGCCTGCCATTAACTCGTTTTTTAAAAAAAACCTACCTATTTTCCCCCATTCCTTTCTTGCTATCTATCTTAAGTCAATACCTTCTAATCATTGACTCACCAACCAGTGTGGAAATGCTTTCTCTGCTGGTAGGAGGCCTTAATCCAACTGTAGAGAGTTAAGCAATCTATTTGTGTTACTGGCTCTGGCAATCTAACAGAAAATTGACCAAACAAATCCTTCAAACGCATCAATGTGGGCAGCCGCGAGGCTTGAATATATTTAAGTGTTAGGTGTTCATCTTCATTCGTTTGTCACTAATTGTCTTTTTCCTGGAAATTGTGTCACCTCTTTGAAAGAGCAACCAATTTGTCCCACTCCCCCGCACTTACTCCATTGCCCCGCATATGCTTCCTTTTTAAGTAATGTATGTTCTAATTAGGCTGAAATCATAGAAAAATCTGCTTGCCTAAAATTGATTTGATGTAATTGCCCTTTTGCCCCTTACTACCAGCCACCTGCAATGGGCATGCCTATGATGACTCAACCAACAATGATGTACAGCCAGCCAGTCATGAGGCCATCAAATCCATTTAGTTCTGCACCTGGTGCACAGGTATTTCCATATTTTGTTTCAAAATGATGATGTTTCATAAGAATTGAAGTTTAGTCACTTTTCTCATCTTATATTATGTCAATGCTGTTCAAGCCAGAATACTAATATTTTACATACATTGGTAAAATAGGCTCATCTGAAGTGTTTTCTGCCTCATTTAGCAAAGCAAGATGCCAAACGTAGAAAAGACAGGTTTGCCATTAATCACTAACTTGATGGTGTGAAAATCCAGGGTAAATATTTGGATGACTGAGACATGTTACTGCCAGAAATAATGTAAGAAAGCACAAAGCTAGCACTTCCAACCTGCCCTTTTGGCAGTTTGCCCTTATAAATTCGAACATTACTTGGCAAGATTTCTTAATATATCCCTGTTATTAAAATGTTGTATGAGAAATGGTTTCATATGCAAATTAATCTGCTTAAAGAAGAAAGCATTTTTTAGCAGTTATTTGTGGAAATTGCTTGTAATTTTATTTTAAATTTGGAATAAGAAACTATTAGCCTGTAATACCAACTACACTAAGCCTGTAATACTATTTTACCTTAAAATTTAAGATCTCACAGAATTGTGGAAAAATTCTTAAATTCAGAATTTTCAACAATTAACCTTAAATTTTAAGGCAAAATAGTCTTAACAGACTACGTGAAATTTGGGGCCACTGATTTTCAGGAGAAGATAAAGACTTTCTTTCAGTTTGGCAGTTTGTTTGGCGACTCTGGAACTCTTGACCTGATTTTCTCCAAACTTGCATAGATGATCAAGATAACCTCAGATTTGATGGAAAACCAGAACTACAGCTAATGCGAGCTAATGAGTAAAGGGCGATGTTTCTTGATAAGATGTACTTGCTTGTCAACAAAATAGTTGCCCTTTTTTTGCAGCTGACTAGACCATTCCAGGGGGCTGACCTGCTCCCATTCCTCTGCCACCATCTGTTGCCGTGACCTGGTTTCATTAACTTTCACATTTTATTTTGTCTCCCTTCCTGGGGCTTGCCTGAGATCAGGATGCCAAGTTCTATCACTTATGCTGCAACCGAACAGCCAAAATTTACCACCGAGTTGCCAAAATTTGCATTTGATATAGCGCTTTTCACGTCAGATGCGCACATGTCCACCATGTAATTGAAAATGACCATTTTATTCAAGAGTTTTGGTTTTTGGAGGGATTATTTTATGTGGAACCATTTTGTAATGATTATATTCAGGATAGAAAAGGGCCACAAAACATGAAGTCTTATATATTTCATATATCTTGTTTTAATTCAGATACGGCATTTGTATCATGTTAAATTAATACTGTTGTCTTATTTATACTGAACAAAAATTGCACATATTTTTGTATTTTAGTCATTTTAATACAAAATTCATGTTCATTTAAATATGAATGACCCTGTAGGTTAAGCTAAATGTTGATACAAACTTTCAATGCACTGCATGCCATGTCTCCCTAAAATGCACATTATTTATTAGCTGGCATAAGTGACTGGGATTTAATGCTGTGATTCTACCAGTGTTGCTCTGCTGTCCAGTGTAGCCCTGCTGTAATCACCCAGATGGGAGGATCTTATGAATACACTAAGCTGATTTGCCATTATATTTTTTCCATCCCCTGTTCCATATTTCTTTAAAACAGTATAGCTGAGTTTGGAAACCATGGTCTGGGGAAATTGCAGGTTGAACCTTCTTCCTTCAGTGCAGCCTGTTGAAACAACAGTGCTTTCATACATATTTTAGTATAATTTATACATGAGGATTAAACAATGATTCATTTCAAATAGTTTCTGAACATATAGAGTCTACAGTTCCTAGTTTGGGTATAATGTATAATAAAGTATATGTAGTTTTATTTAACAAGGAATGTTGGACATTTTCTCGGTATTTTCGATTTTGGATTCAAATCCCACACATTATCTTTTGTTAGAATATTATAACTGTTTGATTACAGTTAAGCTCCTATTGAGAGGTATAAAGCCACCAGTGTAGGGGTAGATTTATTCATGGTCTTAGTTTGACCATGAATTGAAATGTTATTCTCCCCCAATAAAGGGATTATTGTGTTAAAGAAACGATGATTATGTTTAGAGTCCACTTGAATGGTCACAGGCAGGTCATAAAAAGACAAAATGATATATTGTTAGGCATAATGGGTTTACAATTTGAATGTAACATCACACATTGACCACCCTTTGAGTAAATTTGATAACAAAGCCCAATGTTCAAAAAATATGTGCTTAATGCACATAATAAACCATTGAAGGCTGCAGAATAAGGTGGAATTCTATGTTGGATAGTGGGGATTCTAGTTGCTGTTCTGGTTGTCATGCTTTGAAAAATATTTACTTAAATGTGGCCGCAGCAATCTCAGCTTTTAAAGCAGTATTCGCGGTACTCACTGACGTGGCAGTCTGTATTCTACTAGTGTGGCAAAGTGCAGCCTTATCTCTGCTCCAGTTCTTTAGTGATTTTCCAGTTTATAAAGGAGACAATGGGGTTTAAATTGTGATATTTGCAAATGTTGAAATGCTATTCTGCACAATAAAAGGAATATTGTGCTAAAGAAAATGCTGCATATGTTAATTGTGACTTCTGGTTTGCAAATATTTAATTTGTGACATTTGTAGAAGGGCTAATGACATTTTGCAAAAGACAGCAAAATCCAAAGAGGAAAAATCCACTGGGGGAAACCAATTCCAATTTGGCTAAATTATTGGCAGAAGACATTTAGTATATTTGAAGGGACAATGTATTAATTGGTGTGCACCAACATGACTTTTCCACTAGTGTAACATAACAAGTGGATTATGTGATAGAAGGCCAATGATGCAATGTGCTAGTGAAGAAACTATGCGGTGCATTACTATAAGTTCCTCATAAATCAGTCTAGCTGACTCCTCTATGGAAAGTTAGCAGGGAGGGAAGAGCAGGTGAGTCAGCCCAGCTGGTTTAATGCATCTCCCAGCAGATAACCTGAGATAGATTGGTAACTGTTTGACCCTCATTTAGCAAATGGTGCATTATATCAGGATACCTAAGGTGGGTGGAAAATGTACCAAGTGCAGTTTTTAAAACGCTGTAGCACAGAATTTTTATCACAATGAGATCTTCGTTAAAGAAATCTGTAACGTTCAAAGCTCAGAATGAGACGAAAAATCAATCTTCAATGAGATTCTTCGAAATTGTTTTAGCACAGACTATTATCGCCTACATGCATATTGAAGTATAATACTGGATTTCCCACTACAATTCTATTTTTTTAAAAAAAGTTGTACAACAGTTTGGAGTTGTTGGAAAGTTTTTTTTGGAGTGTTTTTAAGTTTGCGTAAAATATGGAAGAAGAAAAGGCCGCTCTGGTTGTTTCTTCACAGGTCACATACATGGAGTTAAGAGTTACAAATCAACATAAGCTGCTAATAGCTAGTCTTGTGAGTAATGGAAAGGTGCCACTCTGATCTGCAAGACCTGCATTCCTTCTGAAGTAATCTACCCCCAGTTTCCACAGAAAGTTCCACAGCAACTTCCAGTTACTCTGATCAGTTACATACCGCAAATGCATGGTTCCAGTCCGCAGGTCAGGTGCTCTGGGGTTTTCATCATATTTTACTGGAGTTGCTAATTTTAATTGGCACAATTTGTTTTTGCAGTTTTTTTGTCATTTAAAAAAAATCCTCCTCACAGCTTCCTGCTCCGCTCCTCGGAAGCTCTCAGCTCCACTATACATTAATGTACTTATGTGATCCCAAACAGCAAGCTGTGGCTCAGTTGAATGGGAAAGTGTGTGAATACAGTAACCTAGAGCAGCAGCCTGCAATCTTAATTTTAAAATTTGCCTTCTCACAAGGTGCAGTTCCACTAGCTGAAGGCGTGGAACTAAGTTGAGCCGTAAAATTCTTCTCAGTTATCTTAGTAGTTTGAATGACCTTTTCTTGCGGCAGGTTTTTCTTATGTTCTTAAATGACAGAATATTTTAGTTTATCTGTAAACACTGTGTGGGTGAGTAATGATGAACCATCCTCATAAGATCTTACTGTCATTTCGGTGTTTTTTTTAAACTAAACAGGTCACCAGTTTCTACATTTGCTGTCACTAAGTTCCTATGTTCTATTCCTTACATTTTCTGCCTTCACTTTCTTTCTTCGCTTTCTAAACTAGTTGTCTGCAGCCTCAAGTCCTTCTAGTCAGAGTCCTCCGAGAGCTCCTGGAAAGGACCCGTTTGCGGAGCTCTCTCTCAAGGATTTCTTGTAGAAAAGACAAGGTATCCACGGTATAATTGCATGTGTGTTGTGTTAAGCAGACTTTAGAATGGCCCCTGAACTCCAGGTCATGCCAACTGTTAACACTGCCATTAAATTTAATTGAAATACCTAGTTAGCCACAGAAAGTGTGCCAGATCGATATTTCTATTACTTGGATGGTTTGATATGCATAAGCTTGATAGGAATATGTGGTATTACTGGTTTCCTTTTGTATGTGGGTAGCGTCTGCCCTTTGCCAACATATAGCTTATTCAGTTCTGGAGTTATCAACTTAAAGAGAATGCTCTGACCACAAATGGATTCTGCTTAACAATCTAACTGTGAAGTATTCAGTCATCAAATATAGGATCTACACTTCTGCAAACTGCAATAAGCTTCTAAAATGTCTTACAACTTCTATAAATCAGATATCAATATTTGTTAGATAAAATATAATGCAGTGATCACACTATTTAAATCTTTGATACTTTATTTGTAGCTGTGATTCAAGGCAGTCATTCATTCAAAAATCGGCCAATTAGTAGAGGTTCTCCAATTGCTTAAAGAGATGCATTGATAGTACCATGTGTATGTATTCCTACGGCTGACCTATCTGCAACCTCTTCCTCTCATTCTCCTCTCATAAACCGCTGGAGGTTTTCCTGTAGATCCTTATTCTACACTTGTCTGAGTAGTAAGCATGATTGAGAATAATGTATATAAAATGGGGCAGAAATCCAAAAATTGATTATTTAAGGAATTATCAGGAATGTATATGAACTGGTTATTTACAATGCAGGATTCATATTCAGCCGATGTTTATTGTGGGGGAAAAAAAGCTTGGCATTCCAGCGCCCTAAAACGTATCTCTACTTTCCATTTCTTCAGATACAGTTCATGTAATGACATCAAATGGATTGATCGTTCCGGGAAGATAAGTGCTAAGCAGCAAATTTTATTCTTCATGCAAAACACTCGCTGTTTGTGAAACTATTATCTTCCACAAGGGATGACTTCCGTACAAAGAATGATAAAGGACCTGGCAGAATGACCAAGATGGAAGATGTATTCAAAAGCAAATACTGATGTACAAACCTCAGTTGAAGATGGAAACCACTGTTTTGATGATCAAGTGATGACTGAATCAATCATGATTTTAAACTTTTCCAACCAATAATAATGCTACAACGATGGATCATTTTCTCATACTGAGTGAAACTTTTATTAATCTAGAATTGACAGGTTGAGGAGTGAGTGAGATTTGCAACCATGTATGATAAGGGCTGCTGGATTGTAACTTATCATGATTTGGTGAGGTATTCTTTGAAAAGCGACAGTAAATTAAGTAAACTTTTTTATGTCCACCAAGGAACTTTTTTTCTTTTATCTTCACAAAATAGATGTGCTAAAATTAACCATTCAGAATATTACTTTTATTCAAGTTTGCAGTTAGACATTCCTTGTATATTAAGTTTGTATTTATTTATGACTGTCATTAAGTAACAATATTTGCATCAGATGCTCCTATATGGATGAATATGGATGTACATGGTTTATGAATTGGATGAAAACCTGAGTGAATCAAAAAGCATTTAATGGAAAGATGGAGCACTAAATATTCTACAAATCAATTTACTTACCTCTAGCACAATTATTTGTAGACAGAATCACAATCTTATGTTTATGTGGGATTTAGGATGAGTAATGTATTAATCATGTAGTTCTGTGCCTAGGATTTTGCAAGGGAACAGTTATTGACTAGCAAAGCACTACGTTTGTACTTTGGCATTAGCATAAATGACAAGGTCCTTTATTGCTTTTTGCTCAGCATGTCATTATTTTACATCAGAGTTTTATTCTGCCTTTCCTGACTAGAATGTAAAGAATTGCCTTCTGTTCACAAAGATCCTCTACCTCCATAGACTCCAAATCATATGCAGATCCCAGAACATGTTGAAATATTGGTTTAAACTTCCACACAGTGTCTTCACTAGTTGGTTCTGGGAAGACTTGTTTACACAGATTAAGTTGAAAATGAGAGAAACCGTTTCTGTGTAGAATTTTTTAAAAGAAAAAAAACAAATCGAGTTAAATAATAAAACGATAAAGTGCTGTTGACCGGTGCTTCATTGTATATACCATAATCCTTGTCCACATCGCTGGTGTGAAGGATAGTTTGTGCTTGAGGCAATTCTGTACATGAACTTTGCAAAATTTTGCTGCATTGTCTTTGCAGAATATATTTTGTTTAAAAGAAAAATGTATGTTAGGAGAAAATGGGTGGATATTCAAATAAAGAGCAGCTTCCACTGAAATTTTGTTACAAGCTAGGTGCAAGCTACATCTCTCAATTCCAAAAATCCTGTGCATGGATATAACAAACTCTGCATTATTTAATAAAAAAAGCAATTGAGCTGTTGTAGGCAAGCTGTTATCTCAACTTTATCTTTGTCGAACTTGAAGGTTTTGTTAAAAGTACTACAGTTGTGTTTCTTTCTACAAGTTGCATCTCTTCCATTGAAAAATGTTCTCTAATTTGCTTTATAGATCTAAAGGAGTTGGAGTTTGATGCCTTTATGTAGTTCTATGTTTCCTTATGACAAGTGTCAAACAATTTGTTTCAGAGTACTCTCTATAGCTTAGTCTTGTAGGCACAACAAAAGTTAGTTTTGGTAAACTTTTCAGCTTATAATTGTTGAAACTGGTTCTAATATTGCTGATCTGAAGATGTTTCATTCCTCCTGGTTTAGGATTTCAACATAACCCATATGGATGCATTGCAGTGTAAACCATTTGTGGGTCTTAACTGGTTTCCTTGATTTTATTTCCTGTTTCCAAATCATTTATGTACAGTGGCAATAACAAATAATCCAATCTCTAGTTGTTACCTTTCATACATACTAGTACTCTGCTTTCTATGGTCTAACCAATTACTGATTCACTTAAGAACCTCTGTGTCTCTCGGTGCCTTTAACATTGCAAACCAGCCTTCTGTATTCGCTGTTATGTCATTTACCAACTAATGAAGGAAAGGGAGAGAAACCACTTCCAAAATGGTCATCTAAATACTGTTTAATTTTAAGTAATAATAATTGAGAACAAACAAATGAATAGTATCTGTATCTTGGTAATTAACAGAGATTGAAGGCTTTGTATTTTCAGTAAATCTCTCAGGTATCCTTTTCCCTTAAGTTTATAAACATGATACTGCTTCTATTACAAAAATTTTATCACATGACTTCCAAAAAACAAATGGTATTGTTATCTCAAGCATCCCCTCCTCCCCCAACTAAAATAATGAAGTCAGTTTTAAATGTGATGTTTGATTTAGTTGTAACAATCTGTCTAAAGAGCTAATAAAGACTTGCATGTGGTATCTTTAACTGTGGGCTGCAGAAAGCTCACCATGTCCCTATGAAGAGTGAAGAACTTATTTTGGTCTCTCTTGTGGCTCAATGGATAGAAATGCCTGATCCATGGGATGTTATGATAGCCTAAATACACCTAGCGTTTAAGTAAAGATAAAGATTCCTGGTCACACCCTAGTTTGAATCCCTGATAATTTGGGTGAATGTGGGGTTGGGTGGCCTTCATTCAATGGTACCACAGTTCAGCAGTTGGTCTGGACTCACTATCAAAAGTAAAGAATAGGCATTGGCTAATTACATGCCTCTGAAACCAAGTACTAATACAAATGGAAACCTTGAAGGAGAGAGAGTATAGCAGAAAGTCACTATTAAGGGCAGGCTTGCCTGTTTTGTTCTTATTAGAGTTTGGGATTTTGGTCACCATCAGCAGAGAAAAGGGATATTCAGTCAAAGTCTGCACTGTTATTCCATATATACCACAAACTAATAAAACTCTCCTGCTCAAACCCATCAGATATATTTTTAAAAAGACTGAAAAATGATCTTAATAAGGTGTTGTTCTCATTTCTGGGATCTCCATAAGGTAAGATTCAATTGTAAACTGTTTTAACCTTGTACCTATAGGTGGTTGTTACAGTAAATGCTATTTCCTTGTATTGCTTTTGTTCATTAACTCATACTTTTGAATTATTAACAGGTACAGAAACTGGCCCATTTATTTGTTCAAGGAAATTGCTTCCCTCAGCATTGTATTGGTGATGGGCCATTCATCAACCTCTCGATAAGACAGTGTTTCAGACTTCTTCGGTCCTTGTTTTGAAGGAGGTTCAAAGACGTGAAGAGGTGCACTTCGACCTTCGACATGTAACAGCTTAATTTCCATGGGACCGAGCTGCAAATACTGTTGTAGATAATTCAGCAACGTTAGGGACAATGAATTAAAGATAATTCAGCATAATGCAGTAAACCTCAGTTGGTATCAGTTGGTACCATACATTTAATATGACTTATGCAAAGTATGAGTTATGTCAAACTTGCATAGAACATAAACTCTTGACCAGGATTTTGGCAGATGTACAACTTGGGTGATCTTACGATTATACAGATCAGACTTATGCGAGTTTTACTGTATAGTTAAAAACTAGTAAGTACATTTTTATACAAAATTTTACCATAGCCGAGGGGGGGGTAGCAGAGGAAGGATGACCAAAAACGCAGTCGGTGAGGGAGGGAGGGAGCCAGACTCCAGAATGAGTTACAGAGTGCGGCAGATAGATTAAAAGCCTGACTCCTGCTAGTGAATGGCCTAGAAGTTAATCCAAATCCTTTTCCACACTTATCGGCTTGAGATTTTCCATTTGGTAAATCTCACATCCCCATGTGTGAAAGCTGGAAGTTGCAATTGACGCAACAAACCCTCTTTGAATATCGCAAATTAGATTCCAATGTCAATTTCGGAACAAATTGGAAAACAATAGACCAGTGGCTTCCGTTGAGAGGCAGTCACCCCAAACATTCGCACAAGTCTAGGTAAGTCATGTTTGATAGCATGTTTTAAGATTTTCTTGATTGTGACATAAAAATCAACAATTTATTTTGTGCAATAGGCTAGAAAAGAATTCTAGACAAAAAATGTTTAGATTAAAGGGGCTATTTTCAAAAGAAAATCAACTAACCTCATAGGCTTTCTCATCTTGATGTAGTAAGTAACTGAGGTTCTGTGACACCGACTTGCCTAATTGAGTTGGTTTTCTATCTTTCATCGCACAAAGTGACTGCATCAAAATTGAGTTCTGCTCTACTTTAAGTATTGCACTCTCAGACCTTGAAACTGAACTTTTGTTTTCGGCTGGAACATAAACAGAAATAAATGTTTGTTTATCCTTGCTTTTAATATATAATCAATAGGCAGGAATGAGTAAAAATAAATAATGGGTCATTTACCCTGTTGTCCTGTAAACAAAAGACCCCTATGCAGAACATTTCATATGAAGGGTTTTATTTTTTACTCTGAGTGTCTTGATTGTAGTGGAGGAGGAAGTTGTCAGGTTACTCTTGAGATATAGCATAACACTATATTAAGGATGAATTTTTTGCAAAATTCTACACTGAAGGCTGAGAAATGTCAGGCCTTCGCTGTGCTAAAGGGGTTATTGTTAAAGTTTTGACTTTGAAATTAGGAATTGAAAAGGTGTCTTGCAAAAGGCAAAATCCTAAAGATACTGGAAATCTGAATTAAAAACAAAAGTCACTGGGAACACACAGGTTCGGCAGCATCTATGGGGAGAGGGAAATGAGTTAATATTTCAGGTCGATAACCTTTCGTCAAAAAGAGGTGTCTTGCAAGTCAGTTCATTGGTGTTTGCAATTTTATCTTTAGTTTTTATTTTTCATCACCTGCTTTTGTTTTGTCGACTACTGCTTGTATTTCCTCTGGTTTAGTTTCACCGCGGGACACTGAAGAAAGGAATGCGTGTTTAGGAAGAAAAGTGCCATCTTCAAACAAGAATAACGCTTCATGTAACAATATAGTGAGCTGTATTTTAGGCAAGATCTCACAACTTCAAAACTAATAAGTCATGCTTGGGAGAGACTGAAGTATTGTGAATCAAAATGACTGAACTAAATACAAAATATTTTATACATTATAGATAATCGCACTTTGAATAAATATCAGACACGTGACATAGGGCCTTTCACATTGGGAGGACATCTCAGAGTGCTTTATTGACTAGGTACTGGGGTGGGTGGGGAGAAAAAGTTGAGTGGAGGGGTTAGGTAGCTGAAAGCTCAGTTGAAGAGATGGGTCTTAAAGTGAGTTATAAAGGTTGAGAGGGAGGCGGGAATGGGATGGACTGAGGCAGAGTAGCTGGGGGTTCAGAGTAGCCAATGACAGTGGGCAGAAGAGGTGAAGTAGGCAGGAGGGTGGGGTAAGAGACTGGGACATAAGGGACCCAAGAAGTCACAGCAGTAGGGTGGGTTGAGACCATGGAGGCATTTGAAAGTGAGGTACAAAATCTTGAATTTGATGCCCTGGAGAAGAGTGAGCCAGTAGAGCCAAATGAGGTTGGGAAGCCTGGTGCAGAAAAGGCCACGGACTGCAGAGGATGGTCTGCAACCTGTGTAAGGAGTAGGAAGGGAATCTGGTGCGCAGGGAGTTCGTGAAACCGACCTTGGAGGTTGATTATGGTTTCCCCCAGCTCCATGAGGAGGAGTGAGGACACATACAGTGCCTGAGGAGAGAAGACGCTGATGGTAGTGGCGAGGTCTTTTTGACATTGAAGTGTACCTGTTGATAATTTTCGGCACACTTCTCTTCACTGACGCTAATATTGATGATCATTACATAGAACTACATAAAATATTCAGCACAGAAACAAAGATTGCGTCATAATTTGCAAAACCTTCAAAACCTGTCTATAATTGAATCCAGAGGAGAGCTAGAACCTGTCATATAGGACAAATGGCCTCCATGGTTTCCTTCTAAGCTGTAAATTTCGTATGATTTCCCCCCATGGTATCTGATACAATGAAGTTTGAACCTTTACAAATTTTTCAATACAAATGTGCTTTTCCATTGCATTTTTATAGCTCAATTTTGCAATTTTGGTGCCACATTATTTAAATATTGGTGTAGAATTATGATTTTTACCTGGTTTATGTTTCAACTTTTCAACCTGTGTGACCAATACATCAGTGTCTTCAGTTTCAGGAGTCGTAAGAATGCTCCTATGACAGAAATAAAACATTAGTCTATTTATTATACTGAACAAAAATTGAATCAAATTTTATCAAAATATTCCTTAAGTAAGTCTGCAATGGAATGTGAGTTAGGTTCATTCCTCATGAGATCAACATGTTCTGATGCATACAAGTGGGAAAAATTCCACCCAGGTCTAGATTTAGAGATTGCAGAATATGGCAAATTGAAGAATTTAGTCTGAACTTTGCAGTCAGTTTTCTGCAGTATTTATAAGGGCTTAAAGAAAAGCAGCTTCCAATGAAGTCCACATTTAAGAATTGCCAAATCTTGCACACTGAATTGCTACATAGATGGAGTAAATCTAGACCCAGGTGGAATCTTCCTCCTAGAATTACCTGCAATTGTTTTATTGTTGGTTAACTATGTACATAAAATTGTGAATCAAAATGGGTTATTCGCCTGACCAGTACTTTAAACCCAATTAAGTTATGGGATGAAGGAATTAATTTGTAAACAAAAGGCTATAATTCACATTTTGAACAAAGAATTTAAAAATTATATATATCACACCTGGATAAGCCTGAATAATTTTAAAATTGTACTACATATTAATACCAAAATGATCAATATAGCCAAGGCAGCAGGCTTTTAAAAAAGCACATAGTACAGGATTGGATACACTGATCATTAAGTACAATTAAATGTTGATATTCATTGTGTAGCACAACATTGTACTTGAGAAAGTAAAACCTTGAGTCAGGTTCAATCCTCAGCTGTTCTTGCTTCCCCACATACAATCCCCTCATTCAACCCTTATTCATACATTCATTACCTCCCATCTTGATGCCGTTCTCCCGAGCTCCATCACCCACAAAATCCAACAGATTCAAATCTCCGCCTCCTATATTCTCACCCATTTATGAGCATTTCAGTGTGCAAGATTTGGCAAATTCTGAAATGTGGACTTTGCTGGAAGCTATTTTTCTGCAAGTCCTTTTAAATACTGCAGAAAACTGACAGCAAAGTTAAGACTGAATTCACACCCAAGCACCTCCCTGCCTCTGGGACACTACCTTGCGTGAAGGGCGCTATACAAATGCAAGTTGTTGTTGTGTCTCCGACCTGCTTACAAAGCACTCCGTCACCCGCCCCCTTAGCCGGTTACAGCCTTCTACACGTCCCTCGGACCCTCCATGTCACAGTGGTTTTAGCCAATGTACGGGAACTATCTGCCTCACCCCCTCTGCTTGCATCTGAAGACTTTCCTCTCTGACCATGATTACAGTCACTTCCCCTCTCAGTTCAGTATCAAGCTCAGCCACTGTTAAGCATTCAGAGCCTGCATGATGGATGCTACACACATGCAAGTTGTTCTTGGTATTAACTATTACCTGCATAAATTAAGATTTTTGAGTTGATCATCAAAGAGGTCTTGCATAAGTTCCACATTATACTGTTCAATCTTATGAAGTTCAGCTACAAGTTCAGCTACCTCTTGTCTGTATACCTTTATCTGCAGAAGCAAAGAGTTAATTAATTTCAACTATGTTGCAAAAAAAGGGGAAAGCGACAATAAATGGAATACATATACAAGAGATGCATTTCACAACAAATAGATTCTAGATTTTGAACAAGATTCACATTTGCCAAAGGTAATATCAATAATTCATAATTACACATGCAGTATATTATGATATCCCACTCTACAATGTGTTACATTGTAGACTTCTATAATGTATTTGTTTATGCATCCTTTATTGTCAGGTATAATAAATAATATATGTGATATTGTGCCTTATCACATCAATACATTTTTCACAAGTATTTCTGTAAAATCTAATAACTGGGCAAAAGCGACAGTTGGTTTATGCACATCAATGTCCCATACAATAAACCGACAGAAAGTGAATGGCTATTTTTTCTTTCTCTGAGGAACTGTTGACTAGAAGACTGAGAGGAACTCTCATAAAAATCATAATCTCTTTTCAATTAAAATATATGGTTCCGAATAAAAAGGTTTTATATATCAAGATATTATATTTCTATTAGAATTTATTCGAATTGTACTATGTTTAGAGCCCAGATCAAAATTCCCATGTTTGGAATGGAATACGCACTTTTTCTGGAATTAGGCAAGCAGGGATATCAGGAGCAGGTCAGCAAGAACGAAGGCTTGTGGACCCCAGAGTATGTACTCCAAATCCTGTGAAGTGCTTTGAGAAATGCTCCTCACATGAAGGACATTATATCAAAAGCAAGGATTATTATTATTCCTCCAATTACCTTAAAAATAAAACATTTTGTGGATAGCCCCCAGTCAATACATTTTCATATTAACTTGTTTGTTTTGGATTTTGAGTACGCTAAGAAATTTTGAAAGTTTTCATGTTCTATCCGACACATGAAGAAAAAAGTTTTTTTTTTGTGGCAACATTTTAAGGCCTTTCATTGTATTCCAGAATTGCCAAGATAATCTCCGATTTGTATTCTTTGCGGAACAAAAGTTTTGGTTTTGACAGTTTTGGACACAGCACAATTATAATTGACGACATAACTGGTGCAAATTTGAATGCACTCAAATATCCGGCAAAACAGAGTGGGCATCTGACAAGTAAGTGTGCATTAGAAGTGATTAAATAATAGGAAAACATTTACTTGACATGGGGGGTTTCTCATTAAATTACAACTATTCTATTGTCCAAAGAAAACTCTTCTGTACTTTCACGGGAAGTTACCTCTTTGTTTAGCCAGTCATTTTCCAATACTTCCTGGCGACTGAATTGGTCCATGTATCCTATGGCTTTCTACAGAAAACTCAGAATCAATTATTTAAAAGAATGAATTGATAGTGGAGACACTGCATAAATATTTTAAGATCACAAATTCTGTATTTTAGCTATTTTTCATGTTAAAAATTTAATTAAAGAGTAGTGCGCTATCAATATTTTACAACACAAGCTGTAAATTATCTGTATTACTATAATAAGAGTAAAGGGTTAACAAACACTTAGTTACCTCTGTGGCTATTGTCTTCTTTTCATTCATTTGATTCTTTGTTAACTTGTTCGTTTTGGATTTTGAGAACATTAAGACTTTTTGAAAGTGATCTTTGCAAAGAAAAATACATTTGAGCATGAAAGTACAGCTACCCCAATTGACCATATACCACACTGAAAATGAACCATATACAGACCAGAAATTCCCTATCAATACCATTAGTGTACTTAACTGGCGGATCACAACTGGTGCAACAGTTAACCTCAAGACTCCTGGATTTGACACGCAAATTCTGCCAGTTCCTTCCCCAGACAGGTGTTTAATGCAGCCCACTCCACCCACTCTTGCTGAATGAGTTTATATGTGCATATCAAATGACAACAGGATAAGGCTAAACTCTGATGATCTCCGAGGTGAAATACCTCACTAACAGTCTTTTCAGACTCACATTTAATGAATGGGTAAAATTCCAGAAGACCACCATGAATGTTTACTTTCAAGAGAGAGGAAAGGTGAGAAAAAAAAACAAAGGGAAAATCAACCTGGGATTTACATGCACAAAAATATATTTTTTTGTATCCTAACCGTTGCTTCCACATTTATTTGGAAATTTAGTTATGATATGCACTGTACTTTTGAGTCATACAAATTAATAATGTTTATAACCCAGGAGTAAAAATTAAAACTGGTTGCTGGTGAATCCATCTGGCACAAATCCAATCTTACTGTCCACTGTCAGATTTAGCTGGATCGCAACAAAACCTACCACTCTGGCCTTGTCCTATTATGGGTTGCTCTTTCTCCAGAATCACCCTAGAGGCCAAGCACAAACCCAGGCTCCTCTGCCTATATCCCCATGTCCTACCCATCCTCTTTAACTGCGAGGAGATGATGGACTTCCTCAGGTCCAAAATCTGCTCTGCTGCCTCTGCCCTTACGACTGCCAGACCCTCCCCAGATCGACCTCTGACTTCCACCCATTCCACACTTTTGACCACATCGCTCCCTCTTTCTCCCATCATTTACCAAATTAAGCCCATCACCTGCTCCCTTGACCCCATCCCTACATTTCTCCTCACCTCCCAAATCCACCTTTTTGCCCCCCTGCTAACATCATCAAGGATTAGATTATTATTATTACTTTGTCTCCGCCACAGTTCCCACCCCCAGCCATCATCATACCATCCTCAAAAACCTTACTTTGATGCACCCCTATTCCTTTATTGCCATCCCATCTCCAACCTCCCTTTCTTTTCCAAGGTTCAAGAACATGTTGCTTCCCAGCTTTGCTCTTTCCTCTCCTGGCACTCAATGCATGAACCCCTCCAATTTGTGTTATGCAGTATTGCCAAAATATTTGAATGATAAAATGTTAAACAAACCTGCCATCTCTTGGAAACTTATTGCCATATCCCTGATTTCCTTCTCCAGTAAATGAATCGCTTTTTCATGTTCCTTGCTTCCAATAAATTTATAATTCATCCAGTATTCTTTCACTGTATCCCTTTCCACAATCATTTCATCCACATCATTTATTTCAATTTCAATCACTGGCAACAGAAAAGCAAAAGAACAAGAAAAGGCCATTCAGCTAATTAAGATCAGTTAGTATATCATTTAGAACTTTTAATATTTCCATTTCTTATTCAGGCATTCCTATTGATTACGCTTCTATGAGCTATTGCGTAATATACTTCCAAGCCCTTTGTGTAGAGAAATGCTTTCTGTTCACTTGACCATACTAGCTCTAGTTTGAAGGTTTCTCCCCTTTTTTAAATCCTTGCAAAAGGACTTATCATTTATCTACCCAGGGAGCAAGCAGGATGGTAGGGGGTTAGGAGGTTGCAGAGGTAGGGGGGAGTAAGACCGTGAGGGCTTTAAAGGTGAGGACCAGGATCTTGAACTGTATCCTCTGCGTGATGGGAAGCCAGTGGAGTTGGCTTCATGATAGGGTCGCGGAGCCTAGTGCGAGAGAGGAGACGGGCTGCAGAGTTCTAGATGAGCTGCAGCCTATGGAGGGAGGAATTGGGGAGGCCGACAAGCAACATGTTTGCATAGTCGAGCTTCGATGTAATGTAAGCACGTATGAGGGTTTCAGCGGCCTGTGGTGTGAGACAGTGGCAGATTCGGGTGACGTTGCGGAGGTGGTGGAAGGCAAAGTGGGTCATGACGCAGATGTGGGCTAGAAAGGATAGTTGAGAATCAAACAAGGCCACCAACAGGAGTCGAGGGAGCAGGTGGTCGGTTTCATGCGGGTTATGGTGGTGATGAGAGAGGAAGGGGAGACAGGTTCAAAGGTGTGGAGGGATGGATGGGTAGGGGTCGGGGTGGGAGGAGGAGATGTGGAGGAGGTAGCAGATGCAGAGGCAGTTGAGTGGATTCCCTCAACTTTGGATTTGAGGAAGTCCAGCATCACCTCGCAATTGGCATCTGAGGTGAGGATGGGCGAGGCATGAGCGGGTGGGCAGAGGAGCTGGTTCGTGATGGAAAAAAGGAGCCTGGGGTTGTCTTTAGCCTCCAAGATTGTCGTGGAGTAGAACGACGATTTAGCAGAGGTGAGGGCGGAGTGGTAGGATTTGATATGGTCCAGCCAAATCTGCTGATAGACCTTTAAGTTTGATTTAAGCCAGGTGCGCTCAGTGGGATGCACCGGTGCTTTAAGGGAGCGGAGGTGGCTGGTGTACCATTGTGATTTACGTGAATAGGAGATGGTTTGGGAAGAGAGGGGAGCAAGGGAATCGAGAGTGGAGGGAGCTGTGGAGAAGAGTGACCAGGGAGGATAGGTCATTGCGGGAGAAGCCCAGAGGGGAAGGAGTTCAGATGACTCTAAGGCAGCTGAGAGGGGGTGAAATTTTTTTTCCAGGGGGGTAGGAGATGGGTTGGGTGGCGGTGGGGAGAGAGATTGAGGAGTTAAGGGAGATGAAGTGAATGTCTGAGATTACTTTGTCGATGATGGTGAAGTCCGAGACAGTGAGGCCCCGAGTGATCACCAGGTCGAGGGCGTGACCGCGGACATAGGTGGTGGAGTGGATGTGGAGGAGGAGATAAGGGAGGAAACGTCAGCAGAGGTAGAGCAGGAGGGGGGTGAAGTGAAGGTTGAAATTGCCTAGGATGAGGAGGAGATGAGCAAATCTCCTTCATTCTAATAAATCATCACTGCCTTTCGAAGGCTGGGTTGGTGGCATTCTCTTTTCAGGAGGTTGAGAGTTGAAGCACCATGTTGGAACTTTCACTCAATAACAACTTGCAACTGCATCTGCTACCTTCTCCCCATCTCCTCCTCCCACCCCCAACATGAAAAAGGCTACATCAAAACGCAAGGATTATCTAACCAGAGAAACACTTTCTTGTATTTGTAACCTGGAACCCTTAGGATAAGCATTAGCTTAGCTTATCATAAGGCAAAGCATTGCTTTGTCCATCCGTGAACTAGATTTTAATGATTTATAGTCTTGTGGCTCATGCTCCATTTACTTTGCTCAACTATCAGTGATTGAGCCTTCAACCACCATGCTCTGATCTGTGAAATTCACTTCAGTTGACTTCACCTGAACATTTTTGGCTGTATCTTGGGTCATTCTAAATATGGTCAATGCAAATTTAAAAGGTTAATATTATTAAGAGCGGTAGAATATGTAAAGGACCATTATGGCAGACAAAGAAAGTGGACTTTATCAAGACATTCAGAATTAAATTCAAAAAAAGTTATAGGTAATGTGAATGCTTGTACCTTCAATATTATGGATTTGATCTTTAACTAAATCCCATTTTTCCCTCAAGCATTGATCTACTTGCTCCTTGTTGATAATTTCTCTCTGTTCCAACTCTTTGTCCTGTTCTTTTGCCTGTTTTAACAGGGCCTTGATGAGCTTCTGCTGCTCTCTCTTCAACTGTTCATTCTTATAAAACATAAAGGTAAACAAATTAGTCGAAGATTTCTAGACAACCACAGTATCCCAAGAGAGAGATAGAGAGAGAAGATAGTTTGGTAAGCTTTCTTCACAGTTATATAAATTGTTAAACTGTATCACGTTTTCCCCTTTGGAATATAAAAAAATTAAATATTTTGTGTCTTAAAAAATGTATAAATGGAGCTTATGTTCAATTGAAGGGAAACAAAAAGATCTAATCAGTTCAAAGGTAAATATTAAACCAGGCAACAAGATAGTTTGTTGTTGATCCATCGTGTGCACCCCACAGCACCTAGAATTGCACTTAAATACTTCCTTTGGCATTTCATATCCGGGAGGCAGCAGTAGTATAATGCTTCTAGAAGGAAACCACAAAAGTCATCACCAGATTCTGCTCTTGTCAATTTCAAGCTGCCTTTGCCATGTAATAATGTAGTAAAGGCCCCAAAATGAAGAAAACCTAATATGATTCTAAAATTAGATGGCAAAACAAGAGTAATATTCTCTCAAAATCATGGTTTTCTTCCCCCCCCCCATCCCAACTTTTGAAAAAAGTTTCCATTTCGACAAAAGCCATAAGTATTTGAATAATAAAGTACAATATCTTCAATAAAAACAATGGAGTGAAAATGCAGTATGTAATGTGATAGTCAGCATTGACTAATTATTACAGTCACATTTTTAACCATAATATCTGGTCTGTGTAACAATGTTAGGGCTATTTGAGAGATGGGAAGAAAGTTTAGAATTTGTCTGGTTTGCATATGGAAATTATGTATTTTGCTATCTTTATTTATTTAAACATAAATAATGTCCTGTCCTTTTCAGCACTTGGGGAAGTGCAATCAGGGATTGCATTTCATTGGTGTAAATTGGACATAAACATATTGACTATTGTCTAATTAGAATATATTTAACATGCAACTTTTAACCTTAAGTATATACCCTCCAAGCTTCAGGAATCTGAGAATCACATTTCTAAAATGGGGTGAAATCTGACAACTGCATCACAGGTTTGAAAGTCAAAGGAGGAACAAAGATGTCAATAGTTCCAGATAAAATCAATACACACAACTTTCAAGTGGCGCAATGTCACATAATGCAACAAGGCCAGGAAAGTCTTAAATCCAGCTGAGTACACCAATCTCATCTTGAATGGCACAGGTGTCAGTGTTTGCTTATGTTTGCAATCCAGTGACCACTGTTGGAAGTGTACCTGTGTGGATTCTGAGTAAGATACTTGTGATTATATCAGTACCTTCCAACAACAATAACAAAATTACATTTGTATAGTGCCTTTCACATCGGGAGAGGACGTCGCAGGGCACGGGACAGCCTGTTTCGGACCTGAGCTGGGGGTCGGGATCAGGGAGGGTGGAGGGCAGAGGGGGGGGGAAGGAGGGTGATCCAGGCAATAGTGACACAATCATTAAATTTTCAAAGGGTTAACAAAACTGAGCAATAGCCAGTGTGCAATATGTGGAAAATACAAAATTTGACTGAGGTGCAACGCTTCATACATTATAAACCAGTAGCTAGCCCTGCATTATTACTATTCAATGTACAAAACCTGTGTCGTACTCTGTCTTTCCATAGGATATTCTTGTCTTCCAGTTCCCTGACTTCAATCATGACATCTTCCATAGATTTCTCCTTCAACTGGATTCTAAAGGATTATTAATTGTTAATTTCCAAACAATAAAACGAACACAAAATTCACAAACGTATTACCTTTGGTAAGATGGAGTAGGAGGAATTGCTACAGCGGCAGTTTCTGGTGCTGTTTAAAAAGATTGGTGCAAACCACTGTTGGTGGCAAGTACATTCATCCAGTGAATAACTAAGTCAACAACAACAATTTACATTGATATTGCCCACAAAATATATAGTCAATTCACTTTACAGTAAGTGCTTTGGGACGTCTCAAAGACATGATAATGCTCTATATCAAATGCAAGGATTATTATTAAAGCACCTTGTTCTTTGGGACGTTTCAAAGCGTTTCACACAGTTGACTGGGAGATTTTACACCTGCCAAACATTTCTTGACAAAATACACACAAACCAATGTAACGCAACGTGAATTTTATCAGGAAAAAGGGATCTCAGACCATCATTTCATCTCCTTTAACTCTCTCAATCCCTCTCCCCACCGCCATCTCCTACCTCTCCCGGAAAACAATTTCCCCGCCCCTCCCTCTCGGCAGCCTTGGAGTAATCTGAACTTCTTCCCCTCTGGGCTTCCTCCCACAATGACCTATTCTCCTCGGTCACTCTTAACCACAGTTCCCTCTCCTCCACTCTCTATTCCCTTGCTCTCTTCCCAAACTGTCTCCTAATCATGTAAGTCACCATGGTACACCAGCCACCTCCGCTCCCTTAAAAGCACAGGTGCGTGCCGCTGAATGCACCTGGCTTAAATCAAACTTAATAGTCCATCATCAGATCTATCAAATCCTACCGCCCTCGCCTCTGCTAAATCGTTGTTCTATTCCACGACAATCTTGGTGGCTAAGGACAACCCCAGGCTACTCTTCTCTATCACCAACTGGTTCCACCACCCACCCTCTCACACCTCGCCAAACCTCACTTGAAATGCCAACTGCGAGACTATGCTGGACTTCCTAGAATCCAAAGTCAATGGGATCCGCTCAGCTGCTTCTGCCATTCCTTCTGCTATTCCCTTCCCATCTCCCCCTCCCGCCCCAGGCCCTACCCATCCCTCCTTCCACACCTTCAAACCTGTCTCCCCCTGCTCTCTCACCACCATTATAACCCTCATGAAACTGACCATCTGCTCCCTCGACCCCATCCCTACCCTTCTCCTTACCTCCCAGCTCCAATTCCTTGCCCCTCTACTCACAGACATCATAAACCTCTCCCTATCCACTGATACTGTTCCCACCCCTTTAAAAACCACCGTCATCACTCCTATCCTTAAAAAACCTTCCCTTGACCCATCTCTATTCTCAAACTACCGCCTTATCAACAACCTCACTTTCCTCTCCAAGGTCCTGGAATGAGTTATTGCTTCCCAGCTTCGCTCCTCTCTCCCGCCACTCCTTTCACGAGCCCCTTCAATTGGGTTTCCGTGCCGCCCACAGCACAGGAACAGCCCTGGTCAAAGTGACAAATGACATTCTGTCCATCTGTGACCAGGGCTCCCTCTGCCTCCTCGTCCTCCTTTACCTCTCTGCTGCCTTCGACAACGTCGACCACTCTATCCTCATCCACCGCCTCTCCTCTCTACTCAACCTTCATGGCTGTGTCCTTGACTGGTTCCGATCATACCTTACCTCACACTGCCTCCACTTCATCTACATAAATGGTTTCTCCTCTAGCCCCCGCATTGTCTCACGTGGCATTCCTCAGGGCTCTGTCCTTGGTGCCCTCCTCTTCAATATCTATATCTATATCTTGGTGACATCATCCGCAGACATGTCGTCATCCATATGTATGCAGATGACACCCAACTCTATCTCTCTGCCTCCACCCTTGACTCCAGGGCCACTGCTTTCCTGGCAGAATGTCTGTCAGACAGCGAGTCCTGGATGAGAGCTAACTTTCTTCAGTTGAACGTCAATAAGACGAGGCTCTCCTGTTTGGCTCCCGTCAGCTCCTCCACACCTCAGGCGCTGACAGTATCACCATCCAAGGTTGCACACTCCACCTAACTAAACCAGTCCGGAACCTTGGGGTCTTGTTTGACCCTCAAATATCCTTTCTACCCACATCTGTGCCATGATCTGCTCTGCCTTACCCCACCTCTGCAACATCAACCGGCCACTGTCCCACTCCACAGGCCACCAAAACCCTCATACATGCTTTCACTACACTGAGGCTTGACTGTGCAAACTCCCTACTTGTCGGCCTCCCCAACTCCTCCCTTCATCGGCTGCAGATCAACCAGAACTCTGCAGCCCGTGTCCTCTCCCGCACCAGGCTCCGTGACCCTATCACCCCCATCCTCGCCCGACTCCACTGGTTTCCCATCACACAGAGGATATAGTTCAAGATCCTGGTCCTCACCTTCAAAGCCCTCCATGGTCTTGCTCCCCTCTACCTCTGCAACCTCCTAAACTCCTACCATCCTGCTCTCTCCCTCCGCTCAGTGGGCTCCAGCCTGTTTCACGTCCCCTGCCTCGCTTGCCCCACCATTGCTGGGAGGGCCTTCAGCCACTTTGCCCCCACCCTCTGAAACTCCATCCCGCTGTCCCTCTGCCTCGCCCCCTCCCTTGCCATCTTCAAGACCCGACTCAATATCCTCCACTTCAACCGTGCTTTCGATCTCCCTGCTTCCCCCCACCCCCCCCTGCCCTCCACACTTCCCAATCCTGACCCACAGCTCGGGTCCGAAGTTCTGTCTGTCCAGCACTTTGGGACATCCTCCCGATGTGAAAGGCACTATACAAATGTAAGTTTGTTGTTTTTGTTGTGATGGGGGCATTTTGGGGGAAGGACAGCTCGGGTTGGGGGTGGCCACCAAGATATAAACGCCAAGACTTGAGGCAGGTGGTTAACGGGGCATAGTCAGCCCACAGACATGGAGACTGCGTGGGTTAGAGATAGCACAGAGTGGGGGGAGAATGGGCAGAGCACTCATTGTGTTGTTGGCCAGGTTACCCAGCCTGGGAAACAACACCAAGCAGCCTGCAGGGGACTGACAGAGGAGGGGAAGGAGACAGACACTGCAGACAAAGGATACTATACTACACCTGGTTTCAGTGGTTCAAACCTGGTGGCAGAAGTGACGTCACTTGGGGAGTTTCAGCCGTTGGTTTGGGTGGGAAATTTTGAAATGGTGATATTCCAAGGTTAGCTACTCAGGTGAGAAATCCTATTTATTTTAGGTCCCACATCAGGCTCTAGTTTAGTTTCCTAGTTCTTCGAGGTTCATTTGCCTAGGACGGTTGAAATCCTCACTGTGATAATCTAGTAACTTCTAATTGATTAGCTTGAAGACTTCCTGACCAGCCTGTCCTATTTTTTGACCTAGCGATTCCACCTCTTTGGCAAATAAATCTTAGAAAACTAATACAAAACAAAATTAAAATAATATAAGTGCATGTATCTTGGGCCAAAAAATTATAAAGTAGAATTGCTCAGTGCAGGATACAAACAAAATGGCAGCACTCCAACCTTGAGTGGAACAAACCATTTCATTGCAAAGGGAGCCATCTGCTGTTGTTTCTGCAGAATTTCAGAAACCCTGCAAACCTTATCCCATACTTCTCCATAGAAATGTTTGAATAGAAATCCATTCCCGGAAGATAATTAACTTGAATAATTGTGGAATATATTGAAATTACTTCACTGAAGATTATTAGTCAAGTACTGTGGTCAGACTGCACCTTGAGCGTTGTATACAGTTCTGGTCACCAGACATAAAGGGGCTGCCCAACCTCTTGAGGGAGTGCAGAGGAAAGGAATGAGGATGATCCAGTGTTAGAGGAATGAGCTAGGAGCAATGATTAGACAAGCTAGGGCTCTTCAGTCATGAGAGAAGATGATTTGAAGGGGACCTCATAGAAGTGTATAAAATTTTGAATACAAAATGTTGTAAAAAGTAAAACCAGACCATTATAGGAGGATGCAGTGAGGCAGTAGAAGAAGAGGACATGGGTTTACAGTTCTAAAGTGAAATTTCAGAACAGGGACAGTGAAGTTTTTTTCTTTACTCAGAAGATAAATAATGATTGGTACAGATTGCCAGGAAGGGTGCTAGAGACCAATGCACTAGATCCAATATGCTTTTTTCCTGGGCAAACTCAACAAATACTGAGGTCAAATACATTAATTACTTCCACTGTTATTCTCACTGGGAACATCTTACTGAATGAGCAGAGATCATACTTGGTGCATTTATTCAACATCCTATTAACAGCATCCTTTCTTCTTGCAATTATTCTTTATTAAATCCCCTCTTTACATATTGGACAAAAAAGAACTTGTATATCCACCTGTATATTTTTACCACAATAAGTTCTTGTAAAGCACTTTCAGATGTTCTCCTTACATGAAAGACGCTATATCAAATACAAGGATTATTAGTAGTTATGGTTTAATTTCTATGTTATTTCTGATCTTGAAATAAAGGTTTTTCCCCACTAGGATGAGTGGGAACATAAAGAAAAAGATCCACCTTGAGTATTCTCACCACCTAGAGGCTCATCTCAGAGAAACATTGACACTGAACCCACAAAAATATCCAAATCAACAAAAGATACAATCATCTAAAATATGTACTTACCGAAAGCCCAGGAAAGCTTCCGCTAAAATTACTTTATCCTCGTCTTTCTTTTTCTTTCCCATTTTTTTAACTACAAAATGGAACAGTTCCTGCAACAAATAATCTTTTAGTCAATGTATAATATCTATTTTTTTCAGTGCAACATGTGTACGGTACCTCCAAGAGGCAGCGTTGTAATACTAGGACGATTCTGATCTAATGAATGAGAATTATACCCCCAGTGGAATGGAGAGTCTGGACCATGAGGAGCAACTAAGTAAATCGGGTTCACACTGGAAAAGAGAAGATTAAGAGGCAATTTGATTGCTGTCCTTAATATTCTAAAGGGACTAAACAATGTAGATCGTGACAAGCGGTTTCAACTAGTCCCGAACTGTAAAACCAGAGGACATGGTAAATTCAAATAAGAAAATAAAAGGGAGGGCAAAGTAAACAAATTCATAGCATTATGTGATATAGTACAGAGATAGTTCGGGGCATATGCGCATGTGACCAGGAAGGTGGAAGACCCACTAGATACTTTATTTTGTCCAGTATTTCTTATGTTCTTAAGCACTGCTTTATAGACTAGAAAGTCTGACACTCAGAATCTATTTGTATTTCAGACTGTAAAAATCCCATTAATTGTAGCTTTTGGGGATAGTGTGGTTTGACTTACTCAACTCCCAAGAATCTAGAATTAAGGAAGAGGTGCTATTTTAAAAGCCTTAGAAAGCTCCCATTTCCGACAACTTCTGGATTGTGATTGAATCTGGGAGGTCAAGCTGGTGGCTCAACAGCAGAGGATTATGTTGTAACAAAGCATTTTTCCAAGTGGTCAGTCAAAACTGGACGGTTTTGAAGCAGGCGGCCAACTAACACCCTGTGACCTTTCCACTGTACGTCAGCCATGCAAAGAAAAAAGAGGTGGAGGAAGATACAAGAGAGAGGGTAGATATAGGAAAAGATATGCAACTTACCTGACCAGCACAGCTTAATTAATACTTCTCTTTTAATTTTGGCAATGCTCTGCCTTCTAGGGCTTGGCCACTCACGTAGGTTTCCTCAAGATAAAAATGAAAGCAATTAGCAGAAAATGCAACAGTGTGACACTGAACTGTGTAGCAATCCCCAGCCCTGAGCTGATGGGTTGCCCAGTCTCCACCGTGTTCCTGTGGGCAAATGCCAATCACCTCTCCAAATAGAGTGGGAATAGTTTCTCTTTTTTTGGATCTCACTGATTGACAGCTCATTGAAACTGTCAGGTCTGGTTCAGCGATCATACGCCCTGAGTGCAGACAGGAGTGAGAGTGATGGAGAAACGGCTGATGGAAGCCTCATAAAAGGCAGAGATCCTGAGGCCAATTGTAATCCCAAATGCTGCAGCTCCTGCCCTTCAGCCCCCAACCCCAGCTCCTGCCCTACAGCCCCCAACCCCAGCCCCAGCTCCTGCCCTACAGCCCCCAACCCCAACCCCAGCTCCTGCCCTACAGCCCCCAACCCCAACCCCTGCCCCCAACCCCAGCTCCTGCCCCAACCCCAACCCCAGCTCCTGCCCTACAGCCCCCAACCCCAACTCCTGCCCTACAGCCCCCAACCCCAACTCCTGCCCTACAGCCCCCAACCCCAACCCCAGCTCCTGCCCTACAGCCCCCAACCCCAACTCCTGCCCTACAGCCCCCAACCCCAGCTCCTGCCCCAACCCCAACCCCAGCCCCAGCCCCAGCCCCTGCCCAGTCCAGCCTGAGCTGAGCTCAGTGTCTGGCAGTAGTGTGGGCGCTGCTCCAGTGTTTGTGTGTGAGGGAGCACATTGCCATGGTAACCGGCACCATATGCCGCACTGCCCTGCAAACCTGCCATTGCCGAAACTGCTGCACCCGTTATCACCAGCAGCAGTTTGCCATCTACAAACCTGGTTTGGAAGGAAAGCGGAGGAGGAGGGAAAAGGCTGTTGGACAAAGTTGAAGCGGGAGCTGCAGGCAGTGGCTGTGCCGGGCAGCAGTGTCACAGTCAGTGACCGTGCCGGGCAGTGACTGCCAGGCAACGTTACAATGTAACAGGTTGTGACTTTGTCGGGCAACGTTACAATGTTACAGGCAGTGGCTGTGCCGGGCAGTGGGGGCAGTGGCTGTGCCGGGCAGTGGCTGTGCCGGGCAGTGGGGGCAGTGGCTGTGCCGGGCAGTGGGGCAGTGGCTGTCCCGGGCAGTGGCTGTGCCGGGCAGTGGGGGCAGTGGCTGTGCCGGGCAGTGGGGGCAGTGGCTGTGCCGGGCAGTGGGGGCAGTGGCTGTGCCGGGCAGTGGGGGCAGTGGTTGTGCCGGGCAGTGGGGGCAGTGGATGTGCCGGGCAGTGGGGGTAGTGGCTGTGCCGGGCAGTGGGGGTAGTGGCTGTGCCAGGCAGTGGGGGCAGTGGTTGTGCCGGGCAGTGGGGGCAGTGGCAGTGCCAGGCAGTGGGGGCAGTGGTTGTACCGGGCAACAACAACAAGATTACATTTGTATAGCGCCTTTCACATCAGGAGGACGTCTCAAGGCGCTGGACAGTACACAGCATTTCATACCTGAGCTGGGGTCAGGGGGGAGAAGGGAGGGGGGGTGACCAACGGCATGGTCGAAGAGGAGGGTCTTGAGGTGGGACTTGAAAGAGTCTAAGGAGGGGGTGAGGTGGAGTGATTGGGGGATGGAATTCCAGAGGTTGGGGGCAGAGTGGCTGAAGGCTCTCCCGCCAATGGTGGGGCGGGTGGGTTGGAGGACATGGAGCAGCCAGAGCCGGCTGAGTGGAGGGAGCGGTGGGTTGGTAGGGGGTTAATAGGTCATAGGGGTAGGGTGGGGCGAGGCCATGGAGGGCTTTGTAGGTGAGGACCAGGATCTTGAACTGGATCCTCTGAAGGATAGGGAGTGAATGGGCGAGAGTGGGGGAGATGGGGTCACGGAGTTTGGTGCGGGAGGACACGGGCTGCAGAGTTCTGGATTATCTGCAGCCTGTGGAGGGAGGAGTTGGGAAGGCCGACAAGCAGGGAATTTGCATAGTCGAGCCTGGAGGTGATGAAGGCGTGAACAAGAGTTTCAGCGGCCTGAGGGGTGAGGTAGTGGCAGAGTCGGGTGACGTTATGGAGGGCAGTGGGGACAGTGGCTGTGCCCGGCAGTGGGGCCAGTGGCTGTGCTGGGCAGTGGCTGTGCTGGGCAGTGGCTGTGCCGGGCAGTGGCTGTGCCGGGTAGTGGCTGTGCCGGGCAGTGGCTGTGCCGGGCAGTGGGGCAGTGGCTGTGCCGGGCAGTGGGGCAGTGGCTGTGCCGGGCAGTGGCTTTGCCGGGCAGTGGGGGCAGAGGCTGTGCTGGGCAGTGGGGGCAGAGGCTGTGCCGGGCAGTGGGGGCAGTGGCTGTGCCGGGCAGTGGGGGCAGTGGCTGTGCCGGGCAGTGGATGTGCCGGGTAGTGGCTGTGCCGGGCAGTGGGGGCAGTGGTTGTGCCGGGCAGTGGGGGCAGTGGATGTGCCGGGCAGTGGGGGCAGTGGCTGTGCCGGGCAGTGGGGGTAGTGGCTGTGCCAGGCAGTGGGGGCAGTGGTTGTGCCGGGCAGTGGGGGCAGTGGCAGTGCCAGGCAGTGGGGGCAGTGGTTGTACCGGGCAACAACAACAAGATTACATTTGTATAGCGCCTTTCACATCAGGAGGACGTCTCAAGGCGCTGGACAGTACACAGCATTTCATACCTGAGCTGGGGTCAGGGGGGAGAAGGGAGGGGGGGGTGACCAACGGCATGGTCGAAGAGGAGGGTCTTGAGGTGGGACTTGAAAGAGTCTAAGGAGGGGGTGAGGTGGAGTGATTGGGGGATGGAATTCCAGAGGTTGGGGGCAGAGTGCCTGAAGGCTCTCCCGCCAATGGTGGGGCGGGTGGGTTGGAGGACATGGAGCAGCCAGAGCCGGCTGAGTGGAGGGAGCGATGGGTTGGTAGGGGGTTAATAGGTCATAGGGGTAGGGTGGGGCGAGGCCATGGAGGGCTTTGTAGGTGAGGACCAGGATCTTGAACTGGATCCTCTGAAGGATAGGGAGCCAATGGTGTCGGGCGAGAGTGGGGGAGATGGGGTCACGGAGTTTGGTGCGGGAGGACACGGGCTGCAGAGTTCTGGATTATCTGCAGCCTGTGGAGGGAGGAGTTGGGAAGGCCGACAAGCAGGGAATTTGCATAGTCGAGCCTGGAGGTGATGAAGGCGTGAACAAGAGTTTCAGCGGCCTGAGGGGTGAGGTAGTGGCAGAGTCGGGTGACGTTATGGAGGGCAGTGGGGACAGTGGCTGTGCCCGGCAGTGGGGCCAGTGGCTGTGCTGGGCAGTGGCTGTGCTGGGCAGTGGCTGTGCCGGGCAGTGGCTGTGCCGGGTAGTGGCTGTGCCGGGCAGTGGCTGTGCCGGGCAGTGGGGGCAGTGGCTGTGCCGGGCAGTGGGGCAGTGGCTGTGCCAGGCAGTGGCTTTGCCGGGCAGTGGGGGCAGAGGCTGTGCTGGGCAGTGGGGGCAGAGGCTGTGCCGGGCAGTGGGGGCAGTGGCTGTGCCGGGCAGTGGGGGCAGTGGCTGTGCCGGGCGGTGGCTGAGCTGAATCCCTGTCTCTTCCTTGGTTGCCTGGGTGGCCACATCCCAAAGTCAACCCCATTGGTCCCACGGTCAGACAATCAGGTTTAAGTGGTGATGCTGGAAACACCCACTCGGGAAATAGTGCCCCCTTTGAGTGGAATCTGGTCACTACAAGGGATCATCTCCCCACAACCCTAGGATCTTCAATACCCACCTGGACAGGCAGAAGGGACCTCGGTTCCAGGATCTGCTTTGAGATGTCTCAACAACTCTATATTAAATGCGAGGATTATTTATGATATACATATTAAAAATTAACATGTATCTTGCTTGGTTATAACCTTTTGTGTGTCAGTCTGGCGTAGTGGTGACACTCTTACCTCTGAGTCAGAAGCTTGTAGCTTGAAACCACAAGTCGGGACTTGGAATCCCATAGTTTTAGCTGACACTCCGGGGAAGGTGTTTTGGATTGGCGGATGTGCCATCTTTTGGATGAGATGTTTAATCTGCTTTCAATGACCTGCCTGAAAATCTAGACTGATGCAGATTGCAAATTTTGGATGAGTCCAGCACTCTGTAATACAGTATATGTAATTCAATGCAAAAAGTTTAAAATGCACGGTCCCACGTTTAACCATTATTTCAATTTTGAAAACATACTTTAAGCAAACTAAAGTTAGTATATTGGCAATGCACCTTATTAAATAACCACTTCTATACTCGATGCAGCAAAGTCTACTTCGGTTCCGCTTCTTGAATATTGAATTTCAAAACAGTAAAATTTCAACTGTTAGCCAACTAAAATATCCAGATCCTTAAAGTTGCAGATGTCTATCTAAGCAGCTGTATCAAAACCTGCTGCCATGGAAACAAGATAGGGCAGAAGGGAGGAAGGGAATGGGCATGTAGTCACAGCTGGTTGGGTTGGCATAGTTCCAAATTGGTACAACCAGAGCATATGCAGGAATGCCTTCCTTACTTCTTTGCTACTTACTGATTTACTGTTAAAGATTTGAATGGGTGTAATTCCATAAGGTGGTTAGTCATTCACTCTAAAGGCCACAACCTTAGCACAATAGCCTCCTTTAATCCTTTCATTCACACACAGAAGTTACACAGTATTTTTAAAATTCTTTCTGTCACTTAGATTACCTACTTATGAAAGCCTGGTAGCATAATAATAATCCTAGCATTTGATATAGCGCTTTTCAAGTCTTCTAAATGTCTCAAAGCGCTTCACAGAATATACTGTAAAGTGGGTGAAACGCGGCAACCAATTGCGCTCAGCAGTGTCCAACAAACAGTCGTGAATGAGTGACCAAATTATTATTGTTTTTTTTTCTTGAGGGATTATTATCAGGTTTGTGGATTAAGGAAACTTGCCCAAGGTTTCACCCTGCCAGGAATCGAGGTGAAGGCGAGTGCTCTAACCACTGAGCTACAGAGCTCTAATGTAATACAGCATATTACATTGGTTTGCACAGTGACAAGCAACAAATTGTTTCCCCCAAACAGTGTGTTCTGGCTCATAGGCAGCCTGGCTAGGGGAGAGGCAGCAGAAGGAAACAATGAACAAATGCAATGTAAGAAACAAAAAATAGTTATTCAACTTATTTGTCTTTTATTGTGTTTAATTATTATCATTATTAGTTATTTTGTATCCTTTAATTTTATTTTCTTGCTGAAGGAAGAATTTGAATTAGGGGGACTCCCCTTCATAGTATTATTGGGAAAATCACATCTGTATATAGCAATATAAAAACATTCCAAAGAAATTTTGCAAGATAACCCTCATCCAACAGTTAATACACTGAAGCATCCATGCCACAAGTAAAGTTTAAGATAATAAAAGGATTTGAGAGAAATAATCAAGAAAAACTTTC